CTTGGGTTTGCCTGAATGCATGAGCTATACTGACCATAAAAACTTTGGCTCCAGAATTGAGAGCATTGATGATCATCTTCCTCTCAATAGGCCCTGTAATCTCCACCTTCCGATATGCCACCGCTTCCGGTATCGGTCATAATCCTAGTTCGCCTCCTGGCCTAATAAACTTGGTAGCCGGATCAAACCCGGCAAAGCCCCTTCATTGTACCTCCTATGAGCCTCCTTCCTACACTTCAACGCATACTTGATTTGGTTCCTAAACTCCCTCTGCAACTCCACCACAGACTACAAAGCATTCTTGGTCAGAATCTTAGCAAACTCTCCATCGTACCGTCCCCAAATTTCGACCCCGTAAGGAACATCATATCCTTCATCACCACGACCGCTCCTCATGGTGGCTTGTTCAGTGTAGCCACATGTGCCAGCTCCGATCACTTTTTTTCTTTAGCTAGCAAAAACTATGATATGGTTGTAAGGGAAGTAGTGTAGATATACAGAGGCGTGATCGAAAAGTGGATGAGCATTATCATAATGGGACGGTGCATGGCGTTACGTGCGTAAGGTAAGTAGGTGGTGATTCAAGTTGTGCATGGAAGTGAAGAAGAATAAGGAGGAGCAGTTTCTTTGAAGTTTGTGCCTGCTTGGGGATGGAGTCAATTAGGCTACTAAGGATTGGTGGGTCTTTGCCACCGTGCTAAAGGGTCAATAGATTTGGACCTTTACTACGAGAAACTTTTTCAGATTCCTGGCAGTCCACGTTGTATATGTATTGAGCTAATAAAAACAAAACACGTGGCTTTCATGTTTTGAAGTTTAGTTGCTACGGGCGAGAACATGCAATTGAACCAATAGCTGAGGACAATTTCATCATAACACCAAAAACTTGGACAAATAGTTCAACATATAACGTGTTTCCACCCCCTTCTATTGGAGAAATATTTCCAGATTCACGGCGATATCACCATTCTTTCCCTTAGCCAAGTCTTGCACGGGTTTGTTAGGATACCCTTGGATTATCTCCCGACTCATATGATTCAGCGGTCGAGCTTGGATTTCTTCGTGCCGACGGTGTTTGCCGCCTTGATCGTGGCGGGGTCGGTTTTGGTCGTGCGGTCCTTGGGCTTGTGGGATGGTGAGAGATGTAGAGAGGTTTGTCATGAATTGGTGTAGAGAAACCCAATTCTATGATGAATTTCAGTAGAAAGACATGGTTTTCTTTTTTTTGTTTGGCTGTGTTGAATGTTTGAATTTTTCTAATATCTGCGGGTTTATAGGAAAGCTCAAAAGACCATTTCATACTGTTCAGGCAAAGATTTCTCTTGAGAATGCTCCTCGAACCTCAGCACAACTCCCCGACATATTGGTACTTTGGATGTGTAGTCGGGCTTTTGCTTGTTAATGTGCTACAATAAGAGAACAAAGTTAGTCATGAAAGGTGCCTTTGTAAGGCCTTAGATGTAGGCCTTGAGACTCGCAATCAAAACTAATTAAGTGCTAGGCGTGCCACTACTATCTCAGTGCAGATGTAGAACAAGTGTGTTTTAAGTCGATTACTTACGCCCTAAGTTAATCAGACTTCCTGTTATCAAAGGATTATTGTGGATGGGTTAAGTCCACAATAAGCTCTTTTTCTTGCCTTGTAAATAAGGACTTTTAGTTTATAATCTTGTATGCTTGAATGGAAGGAGTTCAGAACTCCTTAAGTCGTTTGTTTGGTCTTAGATTGCTCTTAATGGAAACATATCCATTAAACTAATCAGATCCAAATGCAAATGAGACTCTTATAATAGAAAAACAAGTGGAAATGACTTGAATACATGCCGGAGAATGCATTAAGTAATAGATCTACTAATTTAGAAAACAAACAAGAGCTTCAGGCAAGATTTCACCCTGTCAGGCAAGGTTGAACTTCTTGCAATCACTTCTCTTTGTATTTACAGGGTTTATATGCTAAAAAATGATGGATGGTAAACAAGTTTACACAAGGGAATCAATATTACGCACTGAGAGAGGTAGTAGAGTTTTTAAACTTGACAAGAGATAGTTTCCTTAAGGGGCTATCACTAAAAAGACTGGATCTGGGTTGATTTCAGTTTTTCAATGCAAATCTAGCTTGAGATTAGAGTTTTTATGTTTGTTTGTTTGATTAGTTGAATGTCCTTATCTCTGTTGTCTCTTCTCCCTTATATAGACAAATTAGCATGACTACTGTAACTTTTGCTCTTGCCCAAAAGCACTTGAAGGGTAGTGAGTCATTAGTCTTTTACTTGTAATGCCACTAGAAAGTGTTCTTTGGTTGATAGTAAATTAGTCTCCATCACTTGTCACTTCAATTATAGACACGTGGCTTGTGTCCCTTGGCTGAGAAGGCCTTAACTTGCTTATGGGCTCGATGCTAGGCTTTGGGCAAGTCCCATTTTGATTAGCATCTTTGGGTTTTCCATCATTCAAGCCCAATGTTCAAATATTAACTCAAACACATACAATATTATTATGCAGTCTGAGCAGCTTCTAAAGAACTGGACTTGGCTGCTGCTTACAACAAATCCCGTCAAATAGCTGCAAATTCAAAATTCTGAAGCAGTGTGCGACAAAAAAATTTCTTCGCCAAATGTTTACTTCCGTTGCCGTCTCTGGTTCTTGTCTTTTGCTCCAATGGCGTTCCATACCATCCAAAAACCTAAGGAAACATCAATGAAGTACTGCGGTTTAGGAACAATTGTTACTAGTTTAGTTTAAGATTGAAAACTAATTAATTCTTAAATCCACCGAGTTTTAGCCAAGAACAACCCGAATTCAAATCAAGATTTTTTTGTGTGGATCTAATGATGCTGTTATATAATCACAAGGGACAAGAAAACAACATAAACAAGAATGGGAGATGAATGAAAATCGGTGAAACTGTAATCAGAGAAATTAAAGAGAAAAACTCATATTCTTGAAACAATCAGTACCAGACCGCCATGTATCTACCTCCTCAATCCACAGCCTTTCATGAATTGGGAAATTTTTTAAAAACCCCAAAAAAATAAAAAATAAAAAATAAAAAACCAGGGATACCCATACGAGTATAAAAAATTACACAAAAAAGCTATAGAGAATTGAATATTTAAAGATGGAGAGGAACCATCGCAGAGCAATTTTGCTGATCCCTTTTTTCCCTCTTTCAGACCATACGGAAGAAGATAGAATTCACACTTTTATTTTTTATTTTCTACAATTCTTTTTTGTTTGGAGATATATGTTTTTTGTTTTGTCGAAGTTTGGAGATTTATGATTGAAGGCTTGAAGCTAATTAGCTTTAACGATGGAAAATAATTTCAGCACAAATTTTTTTATCCTATGCACGCACCATCTTAATATTAATTCTTTTTATTTATTTTTAATTTATTCAATCAAATTGCTAAAATATATCCTTATTTAGTTATAATATTTCAATTGGCTCACATATATTGTCAACTGAAAATCTGTTTAAGAAACTCCACAATCATATCATTACATGCATGTACAATTCACTTTAATAACTAATTGATTCGAATTATTCATTTAGTACTGGTGGAACGAGTTTTTTTTATTTGTCGAAATGAAGATATTGTGATTGACATTAACCAAATCTCTGTTGCTATTAGTGTTTGTGAGACTTGCCCTGTATAATGTGTCAAACGATGAGTAATCAAACCATGCTAACTCTTGCATTAACCTGGTTGCTAACTCTTGTAAATGGCGTTTTGTCGCAGTGGATTAGTGGCAAAAAACAATTATGTTTATGCAAGTTTGATTTCCACCAATTCCCTTACCCCCACTCCCAAAACAACTAACTACTTAATACATGCTTTACTTTAAAAAACATGCTAACTTTCTATCAATTACCACTTGGTAATACGGTTTATGATTTGTCCTGTTCATCTTTAAATGAGATATTTTAGGTTGAATCTTATGAAAAGTGAGTTCAAAATCAATTTATTTTCTCACCTCATAGTATAAATATATCTTTCTATAAAGAAAAAGGGATGTGCTATCCACACACTTATTTCTACTTCTCACACATTCTTTGTTCATTTATGTCATTTGATATTCTTCAATTCATCCGATCCGGCTAAAAAATTAAAAACTCTATTTCAGGTTTGAGCCGTATTATCTTACGGTGACTAACATTTCACATCCGTACATCCACCTGCCATGTATTTGGGCAGGAGTACTAGTGGGCCCAAGAGGCCGAAGAGGTTATGGTATTTGATAAATAAATATGCCCAACAGCCCACTATTTTTTGTCTAGTTAGGCCCATTGAATAAGCCTTGTGAAATAATTTGTAGGCCCACAAACAGAAAACCAAACGAATTAGAGCAGTTCCACAGTTGCTAAGGCCCTTTCGAGCTGTTCACTATTTAATTCACCAAATAAACAGTAACTATCATTAATAAACCGTAACTGTCTTTTGCATCTCTATCCTTACACTGAATAGCCCTGGTAATAGGTAATAAAATATTAATATCTTTTTTTCTAAATAATACAAAATAATTTTATTTTAATTTCTGATAGGATTTTTAATCGGACTCGTTGTACCACTTTCTATTAAAAAATTAATTAAATATTATAAGACTATATAAAAAAGGAAATAGACTCAGGGCTGGTTTGGTATTACTATAATTTGAAAAAAAAAACTGATTTTGCTGTACTATGAGAATAAACAGCTGTGAAATAAAACGGCAGAATGTTTGGTAAACTTTTTTGTAAAAGTGCTTTTGAAAAAAAAAAAAGCAGTATTATAATATTTGGTAAACTTTTATGTAAAACAGATGTGAAAAAAGCTAGTTTTTCAAAACTAGGTTTTGTAGCATCTTGTTTTTGGCTTTTTTTTCACTCAAAACTGTGAAAAAAAACTGAAGCTCAATATTTACCAAACACAAAAATAGCTCTTATCTTTTTTTTATACCAACTTTTTTTGAGAATCACCTCAATACCAAACCATGCCTCACTCACTCTCCCTCTCTCTCTCTCTCTTCTCTCGTCTTTTTGCTTTGTTTTGTGCTCTGTGTTTTCTCTGTTTATAGCAGCAGGTGTGGCCTCTGGTTTTCATTACTCTCTCTCTGTCTCGCTCTCGCTAAAATCCATCAAGGACCCATCAAAACTCATGCTTTGTTTCTTTCTTCTTTAATCCTTACACACAGACATAGAGACACAGTGATCATCACCATCACCACCCCACCGCCGCCTCTCTTCCTCCATCTTCACCATCCCTCCCAGCTCAGCCTCCATCAACGGTCCCAATCTTCCCCGCTCCCTAACCAAACTCTCTCTCTCTCTCTCTCCCAAAAACAAATCCCAAATCGTGCGATCTAGGTGCGTGAGTGGAAGGAGGAGGATTGCGAGTGCATGGGGGCGAAGGCGGTGTGGGGTGCGGCAGCAGCTGTGGCGGAGGAGGGATTGCGATCTAGGTTTTACATTTTTAAAATTTATTTATTTATTAATATTTTATATTTTTATTAATTTTATATTATGACTGACTTCAGCCTTCTGTCATCTTGCCTTCGGGCTCTCAGCTGACAACTCATGCCGGATCTCTCCCTCAGGCCGGCTCGGTCTCCATCGCCAGCCCACGCTGGACCATCTCCCTCGGGCTGTCTGGCTCTGTTCGAAAGCCAGTCCACCGGGCAATAGCCCACGGTGGAACTGCTCTTATGGAATCCCGGAGGAAACTAGACATACATGACACATCCATAAATTCCACGCAGAGACGAAGACCAGATTATCAAAAACGCGTAAAAGCGAGAAGAACCCTTTGGAGGCTGATCGATTTCTTGAGCTCCTCTCATCGGCGCCGGCGCTATCGTATGGGTTTCCTTGTTAATCGATCTCGATTCCTCTTGCCGGTAAGGCCTTCCGATAGCTGTGAATTTCTCGCGGGTTCCTACAGAAATCGAGGTTCTATGGTTTCTGTTATTCGCCGATTTGCTATCTGATTGATGTTCTTTGATCTGCGTGTGTGTTCATTTGTAATTGAATTTTTTTGTGAATTGTATTATCTCTGTGTCTGTGCTGATTGAATTAGGGTTTGCAAGGGAAAAAAGATTGAATTTATTGTTGTTTTGGAATTGGGGATTGTTTAGGGTTTGAAAAAAAATATAATTTGATAAAGTTGAAAGTGATCTGGATTCAAGGTTTGAAATTTGTTGGGGCGTTTTTGTGTTTTGATTTCAATTGTTGAGTTTGATCACTGATTAAGGAGAGCTATGGTTGTTAATCATATGGCGACAGGGCGAGTCGATTGTTTGAGGAGAAGGGATTCTTATAATTACTCGAAAAGACAAGTTGAGTATTATAGGAATGGAGTTTCTCGTGGTGAAGTAGGTCATGGTCGCAGTGATGGTGTCAAACATAGGAATGGAGTCCATCAATCTTTCAATGTGCACAATGCATGGGGATCTGGGCAGCTACCAAATGCCCCAGAGCCATTGCTTAAGAATGGCAAAACCCGGAGGAGTGAAGATGTGGTTCAATTACCTCCTGAGAAGAAGATTAAGTTCGGTGATGATGTCAAACATAGGAATGGACAACACCTTTCTTACAGTGTGTGTGATTCACGGGGATCTGGACGGCTGCCAAATGCTTTAGAACCATTGGTTAAGAATTGCAAAACCCGAAGGAGTGAAGATGCTGTTCAATCACCTAATGAGAAGAAGAGGAAGTTTTCTCCTATTATATGGGACAAAGAAGAGAAGGAAGTGAGAGTCCCATCAAAAAATGGAGTTGTTCCTCTTATTCCTCTACCCCTTCCTCATCCAAATGTAGCAAGATTACCTGCTATTGCTATTGCTAAGGTTGAGGATGTTGTTTCTGTTGGAGTTCTTTCCAAGTCTCCAGCTAGAATGGTGGAGTCTGTGGAAGTGGAGGTTTCCGAACTTTCTGATGTGTCTCAATTAGAGGCACCAGCTGATCTATCTGCGCCACTACATTCGCAGTTCGGGGAAGATGAGCAGGCCCAAAAGAACAAGGAAGACAATGAATTTTTCTATCGATGTGACATCTGATTGTCAAAATGGTCATCTGATGGTGATTCTCCAAGGGATATTTCTGATGACAGCTCGCCTGAAAGTGGGAAGATCCGAAGAGAAGGCTCTGGGTTGAGTCGGGCTAGAATTTCTGGCTCTGACAAAGAAGACAGCTTTGAGAAGCCGGGCAGTGGAGATAGACTTCATGGAGACGAGTTATGTGATGATGCGCACATGGATGCTGATAATTATGGTGGGATTGCTGACTATAGCCAGTTTTACTCTGATTCAGAGGATGATTCTGATCTTCCTCAGATTGAAGAGCCTGCAATGCCTACACATAAAACTATAAACATGCTTCAAGGTTGCAGAAGTGTGGTTGAGTATGAAAGGCTCAACCATATAAGTGAAGGCACTTATGGAGTTGTCTTTAGAGCTAGAGATAAAAAGACCGGAGAAATTGTAGCATTGAAGAAGATGAAGATGGACGTGGATAAGGGATGTGATGGTTTCCCCATTTCAGCATTGAGAGAAATCAACATTCTTTTGTCGTTTAGTCACCCTTCTATTGTCGGTGTTAAGGAAGTTGTTGTGGATGACTTTGATGGTGTTTATATGGGTATGGAGCATATGGACCATGACCTCAAGGGGCTAATGGAGTCAATGAAGCAGCCATTTAGTGTAGGCGAAGTTAAGTACTTGATGAAACAACTTTTGGAGGGTGTAGAGTCTCTTCATGATAATTGGATCCTTCACAGAGATCTGAAAACATCAAATATTCTTTTGAACAAGGAGGGTGAGTTGAAAATATGTGACTTTGGGCTGTCACGACAATATGGGAGTCCACTGAAGCCATATACTCCTTTGGTTGTCACATTGTGGTACAGAGCACCCGAAATTCTATTAGGCGCAAAACAGTACTCTACAGCAATTGAGATGTGGTCAGTAGGTTGTATAATGGCTGAATTGTTGGCCAAGGCACCTCTCTTTAGCGGGAAACATGAAATTGAGCAGTTGGACAAGATCTTCAAAACTCTTGGTACACCAGATGAGAAAAGTGGTTTATCCAAATTGCCAGGCTTCAAAGCTAATTTTGTTAAACAACCGTAAGTTTCTTTGTTCCATTTTAATTTTAGTGAATACAAGGTCATTGCTTCATGCTGATTTTTTGGATTACTTGTTTTCACCGTTTAGTGCCATTCTAATAGCTTCTTAAACTCTTTCAGGTACAATCTTCTGCGCAAGAAATTTCCTGCTGCATCTTTCACTGGATCATGCCCGGTGCTCTCTGAATCTGGGTTTGATTTGCTGAAGAGGCTCTTATCTTATAACCGTGTGGAGCGAATAACAGCGAAGGATGCCCTTAACCATAACTGGTTTCGCGAGTCCCCGGAACTGAGAAAGGATTTCAAGCCAATTACGCCTGATCGACATGTTCAAGACCAGCACCTTAGCAGCAGGCATTGTGAGAAAATTTCACAGCAATAATCTTGTCCTGTTCTTTTTTCAGTTCTTTATATTTTGCTAACCTGACCATCAGGGAGCTGAAAAAGTACAGCACAGACCTGTACTGTAGGGTCCTTTAGGATAGCTGGAGCGAAGGAGTTGCAAGGGCTGTCAGTTGGCACTAATGGTTTGTCCTGTTAAGAGCACCTTAATAGCGATGCAGTCTTCGTATATGAAGGTGTGGCATAATGTTATGAAGAAAAGAGAACTTTTTGTTTTTCCACATTCTTGAACCTGTGTATATATGTTCATATTGGGATGATTTTTTATCAGTATCTTGTTCATTATTTGAACGTAAGAACTTTTTGCTTTCACTTTATTCACGCTTAAACATTGTTTGCAAGTGATTCTGGGCTTTAAAAGAATGGGAGGGTGCATTATTCGCATTTCACGCTTGGAGACAGGAATTTCCGCAATCGTAAGTTATTTTACCGCACACAAGGTCTTTTGAAGTGTGTCCAGTCTTATATGTATTGCTGGTTCATGTATTGAGGTGTGTCAGGTCTTCCATGTTTTCCTAAATCACGGTGCTCCCTCCAATTCTTCGCTTATGGTTATGCTATTTTAGGCCAGTGTGTATTCATACTTCATACGGCAAATACATGATTTATAATTTGTTGGAAATGTTTCCTTATCTGTCAAGTTCATAGTAAATGCAAGTTCCATGCAGACCACTTCTAATACACACAATGAAAAAGAGAGTGCGTGCTATAAGTTGACAGTGCTGCTAGTCACTTGCGCTGTTATTCTCGTTGTCTAAGTAGTATTGTTTTGCTAGGTGCTTGAGTTCTAGTGATACATGCAGTGGTATTCAGTTCCTCTTCGGCTTCGATTGCTTCTACATTCTGTGGATGCTTTTTGGTAGAGGTTCTCTCTTGTAGAGCCAGGATCTGCAATGTGGTTTTAAACTTATATTTGTTTTTCTGTCCTGTTGTAATTCCTTTTCTTTCTTCTCCTTCATCTGCTTATTCCTTAATTTGTTTAATTTTAATTTTTGACATTTATCTTTCCATGTGCATTATTCGGTTAGGAATTAGCTTGCTATGGCAATGGAGAATCTGCTTGCCTGCAGCTAGATCATTCAGCTGGTATGCGTTTTTTTTTTTCCTTATCAATTTGTGAATATAGGGGCAGCAGTTATACCTTTCGCCATGTGTAGCGTGCATAGGATATTTACGGTTTGTATTTTACATCAATCTTATGCTGAATCAGTAGAGAATTGTGATGTTGTAGAGTTTCTGATAATGAGTATTTTTATAATGTGGAGTGTTTGTCCTTGAACCTCCATCAATTGCTAACAGATCTACTCAATTTGCAACTCTTTGGATCGAGAAATGTTCGCTATGGTACCGTTTGGTACGCAAACGGGACGGGATGGGATGGGACACGCAGGACAGAATGGGACGATTGTTCCGTTATGCGTTTGGTACGCGTTGGACGGAACGGAACCAAATGATTAAATGACTAACTTACCCTTGTTCCGTCTGTTTGGTATAATGTTTATGCATGGGATGGGATGGGATTTTTTTTTTTAACTTGTTCATATTTGAACATATATATGCTTATTTATGATATATTTTTTACACTAGCACATGGTTGAAGATATGTTATGCCATGAATTCCGTCATCTTTTACAGCAATACCATGATTAGATTTTGGCGATTGCAGAAGAAGCAAAACGAAAAACAATGGTAGAGAATTTAGAGAGAGAAAGTGAATGACTAAATATTGTATTCCTTGAACAATGAATGAATTACAGAGAGAGAGAGAGAGAGAGAGAGAGAGAGAGAGAGAGAGGTGTTTGTTATTTATACAAGTGTTCTTTGCTTCACTCATCAGCTACTAACCAACTTCCCTATATCCCTGCAAATCCCAACAGACTAACAGCCTACAATCTCAACAAACCCATACTGATTTGTACATATCAGTCAATGCACCCATGGCCTGAAGCAATAACTTAATGTTTCTTGAGTATTCATCTAATAAAAGGCTATTTGGGAACAAGACTGGATCTTGAAAATAATCTAATGTGCTGCAACAACATACATGGAGACCTATAAAACAAAAAGCAAAGAGCATTGGTAAGTAATAATAAAACAGAAGAACCACACAAATCACAATCAGAAAAGTTTTAGATACATAACATCTGGCAGTTTAGATGTTGCTAGCCGAATTATTTGAATGAATTTTTTTTTTCTGTATATTTCGGTGGTGGTTTGTAAATGTCATGCTTGACGATACAGAATGCAGAATGTAGGAGGGAAGTGTTTTATCCTCTAAAACGCAGCAGTAGTAATCTGAGATGCCCAAAAATGGCGAAATTTAAATGCAACTGCGTAAAAACCGCAGCACAAGTCTAACATTAGAGGTGAAGTGCGACGGCCTCGAAAACACGGCAGAAATTATGTGAACGTTATCGTCTTCCCGAGCACGAAAAGAGCCAGTGTGACCTCAATGAAGCAGATAGTGCTAACGAGTCCCCGGTCAATCGTCCATCCATAGAGGGTAATTCCCGTAGGGTTGGACTGCATGTAGGTCACTGAAAACAATAGTAAACTTAGTTACACTCCAAAACTAAAACACAATGGACGAGTTCAATAACTGTTTTGGTTTTAGTTTTTAGTTCTCTGCACAATGAAAAGTTCGGAAAAACAAAATAGTTGTCAAACGGGCCTTTATTTGGTTTCATGTATGCTTAATAATCAAACCATTTAATCAGAGGTTACAGAACATGAGGAAGTTGTAAGGGCATACCAAAAGATTGTCTTTTCTGATAGAGGGACATGTGTGAGGCCAATTGTGTATTTGTAGGCTTTGGAACATAATCAACTGCCTCCAGATCACTTTCTGAGTAGCTTATCGGCAGTGAAGCAGCAATAGAAATCTCCAAGTTCCCGGAACTGTTGGTGATTCCCAAGTTTCCGGAACTATTATTGGTTCCCCGTCGAGGCGCATCTTTGGAGCTGCAAGTGACCATAGCATGCCATCTGCTAGTCACCGATCCAAGCGCCTGAGCTCTGTGTGAAATCTTCGAAGCTGCATGCAGGCATATAACTAGCCCACCTACCTCAACAATGGAACAGACCTGCAACAGTCATAACCAAGTAACGTAGGTTAAGCGTGAGCACGTTCGAATTGTAAAATCTAGTCTCGTCCAATGTATTGGTCACATTGTTCTGAACTTACTACAAAATCGCCGCCATTGATGAGGTTGATGGTCCCGTGCTTTGATGTTGTCTGCAGTAGAGCCACAAACTGGCTTGCTGTCACAACTAAGAGCTGAAGAAGAAGATAGATTCGGAATCTGTGGCTGATCTTCGATAGGTAATGCGTTAGACGAATATGTTCGTCAATGTATGCAGAAACATCCAAGTCCCTTTCTAAAAGTTTTCCATAGTTCTCAAAGTGAATCATATGCAAATTGCAAACCAAGTTGAACAAAGCACTGCCTAATAGGAGAATGATGCTCGAATACGTCCATGACACGAGCACAGCAAGCAGTACGACAACAGATTTCCACCATGGATCGTGATGAAGAACAAGAACACGAGTGATTTCTCGAGCCGCCTTCAGAAGGAAGCAAGGTAACACCCACGCAGCCAGCAAGCGGTAGAATTTCTGAAGCAATATACATCAGAATCTCATGCTATGTAAGCTACAACACGTAATTTCCTACTGAAGTAGTTCATAGCAGATCAAGCAAGATAGCAAATTTGTTCTAAACTTAAGAATCTTAAAAAATATTTTAAAGCTAAAACTTCACCTAAATGCAAGCGACAATGAACGCATTAAATTTCAGTTTTCGGGTTGTTTACCATTGTTGGAGCAATATTAGAGAATATGAAAATAACATAAGAATTCCAAAGATAGTAATCATAAAGAAAATCACAACATCAATTATTTATAAGAATTATATAAACAACTGGGGAGAAAGTTAGAAATACTAACAAATTTGGAGATTGAGGCTTGCATAAATGCCATACTCTTGTGTTTGTAATTCGATAGGTGTCCGTTTTCCAGAATTCAACAATTTATAATACAAAGTCAAAGCACTTCAATCTTCGAACTCTTAACAAATTTTATATATTTCGTACTCTCAAAACACAACTCCGCATGTGTAAGTTTATCTTATATTGCCTGTCCCAAGCCTAGATAAAGGAGGAGGGGGAGGGCGTCAGGTAGTCGACAACCGACACTCCTAGGTTACGTCGAATCCTTATGAAAATGAATCTAGAACGAAATCGCGCTAAAGCTAGGGCGTCACCCGTAGGGCGTCACCCTTACTCGTTTGTTGGTGATGGATGTACATATCAAAAAAGAGAAAAAAAAGAACAAGACTTGGAAGTGCCCAAGGACTAGATGGTGGAATCTAAAAGGAGAAAAACAAGCTATTTTCAAAGAGAAAGTAATCACCCAATGCGTGTGGGATAGAGAGGGGGAAGCTAGCCAAAGATGGGATTCCATGGCTAGTTGTATCCGAAAAGTAGCTAAAGAGGTATTAGGAGAGTCCAAGGGCTTTGCTTCACACCAAAAGAAATCTTGGTGGTGGAATGAGGAGGTACAAACAAAGGTGAAGGTTAAGAAGAAATGTTGTAAAGCCTTATATAAGGATAGGACTGATGAAAATGGTGAAAGGTATAGAATAGCGAAGCAGGAGGCGAAGAAAGCTGTGAGAGAAGCTAGTGGCTTATGACGATATGTATAAGCGATTAGGTACCAAAGAATGAAAGCTAGATATCTATAAACTAACTAGAGCAAAGGAAAAGAAGATAAGGGACCTAAACAAACTGAGGTACATCAAGGATGAGGATGAAAATGTTTTTGCTATAGAGAATGCGGTCAAAGATAGATGGATAGGTTATTTTTATAATCTTTTCAATGAAGGACATGAAATGAGTACTTCTTTGGGGGAGTTGAGTAATTCAGAAGAGTGTAGAAACTACTCTTTTTACCACCGAATCAGGAAGGAAGAAGTGATTGTATCTTTGAAAAAGATGAAGCATAGAAAAGCAGTGGGCCCAGATAATATACCAATCGAAGTGTGGAAAGTCTTGGGAGAGATAGGTATAGCATGGCTCACAGATCTTTTCAATAGGATTTTGAAAACGAAGAAGATACTAAATGAGTGGCGAAAGAACACTTTGGTGCCTATTTATTAGAATAAGGGCGACGTACAAAATTGCTTGAACTATAGGGATATTAAGCTAATAAGTCATATAATGAAGCACTGGGAGAGAGTCATTAAGCACAGATTGGGGCAAGAGACACGGTTTCAGACAACCAATTCTAGTTCATGCCAGGGTGCTCAACCATAAAGGCAATCTATCTTTTACGAAGATTGATGGAAAGATATAAAGATAGGAAAAAGGATTTACACATGGTCTTTATAGATTTGGAAAAAAACGTATGATAAGGTCCCAAGAGACATTCATTGAAGGATTTTAAAGAAGAAAGAAGTACGAGTAGCATATATCCAAATTATAAAAGATATGTATGATGGAGCAAAGGCTTCTGTAATAACTCATGAAATACAAACCGAAAGTTTCCCCATAACTGTAAGGTTACATTAAGGTTCATCCTTAAGTCCTTATCTTTTAGCATTGGTAATGGATGAGTTAATGAGACATATTTAAGATGATATTCATTGGTGTATGTTTTTCGTAAATGATATAGTGTTGATAGATGAAACTCGGGAAGGGGTAAATGCGAAGTTTAACATTTGGAGAGAAGTGTTGGAATCTAAAGGCCTTCGCCTAAGTTGATAAAAGATAAAATATATGGAGTGCAAGTTCAGTGCAAATAGAGGCCAAAATGAGTTAGAGGTGAGGATCGGAGATCAGGAAATACCAAAGAGCAACCGCTTTCGCTACCTAGGATCTATCTTGCAAAAGAACGAAGAATTAGATGGAGACCTCAACCATAAAATACAAGCTGAATGGATGAAGTGGAAGAGTGCATCCGGCGTGTTGTGTGACTATCGAATGCCACTGAAGCTCAAGGAAAAATTTTATAGGACAACAATAAGGCCGACGATGCTGTATGGCACATAATTTTGGACGGTGAAACATCAACAAATACATAAAATCGGTGTAGCGGAGATGAGGATGCTTCGTTGGATGTGTGGGCACATGAGAAATGATAAGATTAGGAATAATGATATCCGAGGTAAAGTAGGAGTAGCCGAAATTGAAGGAAATATGAGAGAAAATCGATTACGGTGGTTTGGACATGTGCAAAGAAGGCCTACTGACGCTCCGGTTAGAAGATACGACCACGGGACAGAGGTCCAGGGTAGAAGCGGTAGAGAAAGACCTAGAAAAACTTTGGAAAAGACTCTAAGAAAAGATTTAGGGTACTTGGATCTAACAAAGGACATGACACAGAACCGAGCACAATGGCGTTCTAGGATTCATATAACCGAACCCACTTAGTAGGAAAAGACTTTGTTATTGTTCTCGTCGTATTCTCAAAGCACGACTCGAAAAACAAATAAATAATGAGATAAATAGAGTGGAGAAATCCTATTTCTCAAGAGTAATTAATTCTCTTATTTTCTACTTTATGAAGACAAATAAAAAACTTCTCCAACGAATGAGATAAACAAGTCTCAATCTTCAAGTTTGTCAGTATTTTTAAAATTAATCTCATACATAAGTAATGTTATGAATTTCTTTATGATTATTATTATTGAAATTCTTGTGTTATTTTTATTTTTTTTAATATTGTTCCAACAATTATTTAGTGAAAAGCACACAAATATAATCTGTCACAAACTTTAAAAATAGAATCGGTATAATAAGCCTTATAAATCACGGTTTAGTGACCTTCTAGTTCTATTTTTGATTAAACATTTGTAACAAGTTCATATTTTTAGCTACAAAATGTTCACGAGCATAAAATAGAAAAGATTGAAAACAAAAAGTGGATTTGTGGGTGCTGTGAAACTCACATTGATCCTTTGAATGTACTCATCACGAAACAGAAGCATAAGGCCATGATACCGATCCACAAACAAGAACTTCCTCACTCCATACTTTCTGATGCTGTGAGAAACACAACCCAGAGAAATGGCAGCCATCAGAGACTCAGAAACCAGAATCTCAATCTCAAACCTTTTGATCTCATACTTTTCGCAGTCGGCGCAATCAATGATTTCGATAAGCAAGATAGGAACTGCAACACCCACAAGGAGAAATGCAAGCCAGGAGAGGATGAAGCTCCAGAAAGAGTACTGGCGGAAGCCAAAGAGTCTCAGAAATGTCTCAAATCTGTGGAGGGAGTGATCAAGTTTGGCATCTTCAGGTGGGTTTTGCTCTGATGCGTCTATCAGTGGGATTTGGGTTGCCATAAATTGATGGAAAAGTTTAGCAAGAATGGTTGGTTGGAAGTGGGTTTTTGTTCAAATAAGGAATTCCGTGTGGGGTTTTTAATTGGATTTTTAATTGGAGAATGTTCACTTTGTATTTTGGCTTTTGAGGGTGCTGAGTTACATTTTTCAAAAGGAAGAAAAAAAATTGTTTATGTAGAATATTCTTAGGGCACTTTACTGATTTGGTTGTTGGATATCAATTTTTTTAACAAGCATGTCTTCCATATTACGCAGTCCAAGGGTCAAGGATCTCACCAAATTTTCTTTCTCTTACGTTTGCGACCCTTCTAGTAAGCTCAGTTATCGTATACATTAGAATCTTTAGTCATTAAATTCTTAAACAAAGATTCAATAATCAAGATCTAACGGCCAAAAATCTCCGTTACAAGTTATAATGGAACATAGTAACATTTTAGAGAATTTTTTATTGCATACATGAATAGGCATGTTGGTTAAACCAATGTATCTACCTTTTTACACTCAAATTCTAATATTTTACTTTCTAAGTTAAAAATATTTTTTTTCCCGACGAGCAATGATAATTTGATATTTCATTAATCATATCAAAACAATACATATGTGCTAATTGGGTATAATACTCCAGTGATCAAGAAAATGATCTGGATATGAATTTGCACAAATAAGACAATAATACTAAAACCCCTAAACGGCTACCACATGTACAAGAACTTTTCACATCACCCCTACAAATCTATCATAAAGCGATAGATATAACAAATTTGTATTGGCGAATTCCAAACGGTCATCGTCGAATAGTGTGGCCACATAAAGTTATCGCGGAAATGAGATCACATAAAGTAATCATTAGTAGACGAGACCACATAACTCATCGCTCAAAGCAAAAACCAAATTCAGCCATCGTTGTAGCGAGCCTACAACACATTGGTTAGAATGTTAGTTTAGAATGCAACTGTCTCAAGATAAGGGAAAACCACTGGTTTGTTTATTAATAGTTTATAGCTTGACAGACTCTTCAAATTTATATAAGGGAATTTTAACGAAAATTTCTCGGTAATGTTCACTTTAATGAAAAACCACATTTTTACACTAAAAGTTAATCCTGATACTATTCACTTTACCTTTTATTTTGTCCTTATTGTTAAAATTTAAAGTTTTCAAGCTATTTTCATTATTTTTCTTTTTATATAATCTAAGGTTCCAAGTGGGGAACCGAAAACTCTAACCAAGAAAAATTAAGTTTGATGATGAAGAAAAGCTAAAGACGAGTGCAGGTGGTCCAATATCCTAATGAATAATGTGCTAAATTTTTACATATGTGTGTCTTGAATTCTAAACTCTTTTAACCTTAAATTATTGTAATAATTTTAGCTCTTTCCGCTTCCCATAACTAACAGTCAAAGTCAGCATTTCAAGGTCAAATTAATTGGTCCACCTTTCCAAAACCTCATATTTTGGGAATAAAATTTTAATAAAACTTCCAAATTTAGTTTACTAACTGAAATACTAACGAACTTTGCTACGGAATTGGGATCAATCGCCTACGCGGGCGAACCAACCGACTACTGCATTATAGTAAAAAAAACGAACATACTATTATAACGAACTAATTTATCTTTGAGTTAAAAAACGAACATACTATTATAACCAACTGACTTAACTTTGAATTGAAAATTAATTAACTATTATGACAAGTATCATAGCTAAAAAACAAATATGCTATTATAACAAACTGAATTAACTCGTAACTCTGAATCGGAGTCTTTACAACTTTGGTGGGGTGATTGGTGAGCTGGAGGGGTAGTTGAAACCTAAGTCTTGAGCAAATTATATATACTAAAACTCAGTTTTTTAATACTGTTCATTAACAGTGAAATGGCGAAATTGCCCTTAAAAATTTTCCTTTTGTTCGTTATCTTTCCTGCATTCCACAGTTAAAGGACGGTTGTGCCCTTCACTTCCACGCGTCTCTCATCGCTGCTTTTTGCTTTCTATTCATTTTTCAGTTCCTTTTTGACTGCTTTTAATCGAATTTTTACCCCCATTACGTTTGGTTTTCTTCTTTTCCACCCGTCTACGCTCTCTTCCTCTCTCTTCTAGATTTAGCTTTTTTTCCCTATTGTCTGCTCTCTCTTCTAGATTGATAACAATTTTAGTGTTTTTGGACAAAACTAATAAATTTATTGAACAATTACAAGATCTTAAAAATGTGCAGATTTGAAAATGTGTAAAATTGTATACACAGAGCGTAAGGATTAATAAGCATGGTTGATTAAGAAAATTGGTTTTCTTATGTAAGTCGTTGGACAAAAGCTTAGTGGGATTGACGGATTAATAAGCATGGTTGATTAAAAATGTTAGATGCATTTAGGTTTTTGGGTTGTGAATTCGTTTAATTTGGATTTTCGTGTTTTGTATTTTGAATTCGTAGCCTAATTTGAAAATGAATTAGGTTAAATGATTGCTACCTAAATTGATGACAATGATAGAGCAGAAATATACCGAGGTTTTGTTTTGTTTTGTTTTAAAGAAAAGCAACACAACAAATATATATATATATATATATATTTAAATAGTTTTCGGCATCGAATTTTGATTTGTTTGTTTGCAGAGGAAGGAGAATGTGACTCGATTTGCTATAAGCTTGCAGTAAACTTTTATATTTGTTCAGGATTATGAGAATTCTTACAAAAAGAAAACAACTCAGATTATAATTTTCCGTTTAAAACTGTTTTTAAAGCAACTGATGGTAAGACAAACAAAATATTTAAAAATGTGAGTTACACCCGGCATCGCCTGCTCTACTTTTATGAGAGTTCTTACAAAAAAATATTAAAAAAATGTGATAAAGCAACTGATGGTAAGGCAAAAAAATCTAAAAAATGTGAGCTAAACCCGGTCTGTGGCACTACAAGTCTTTCTTTTGGTCCAGAAAAAGATAAAAAAATTGGTGGCAGGACAAAATATGATAAAGCAACTTATGGCAGGACAAAAAAAAAATTTTAAAAATGTGATAAAGCAAAAAAATCTTGCAAAATGTGAGTTAAACCCTGTGTGGCACGACAAGTCTTTCATAAGAAGGCAGATTGTCCGCCGTCTTAATATGATGACTCTTTCGTGTTTTTTTATTTTGTACAAACATGATTAAATCATATTAATATTTTATATATATATTTTTTTTATAAATATAATAAGATAAAAATTAATATGATTATAAAATATTGACATGATTTAACCGTAACTGCACAAATAGACGGATATGAAAAATGTACTAGAAGCACAGACAATCTACCTCCCTTTGGTAAGGCAAAAAAAAATATTAAAAAATATGAGTTAAACCCGGCGTGGCACGATAAGTCTTTCTTTCAATCCTGAAAAAGATAAAATAATAAATAAAAAAATGATGGCAGGTCAAAAAAAAAAATTAAAAAATGTGATAAAGCAATGTATGTTTGTAAGCTCTGTTCTCTTTTATTTCCTGCACGTTTGCTGTCTTATCTTCTTTTCTTTTTGCTTTTGGCTTCTGTTTTTTCTCCTCTTTTTCTTTCATTTGCAGCTTTTTTTTTTTTTTTTTTTTTGGGATGATGATGATCAATACTGTTTTTTCTGCAGTGACTGTTTCAACCAAAAAACTTTTGCTCATGTGTTAAAAGGATGTTGACATGTGCTATCCAAAACAAATAAGTATTGGTTCACATTTTTTTGTGTGTAAATAGTTGATTCTTACATGAATTCTTTTTGTGTATATAAACAATGGGCTCTTTAGGATTACTGTCAAGAAGGAATACTAGGTTAACCATTTTTGTATACTGATGATAAGGCATTTGATAATATCTTTTTTGTAAATTATATAAACTTAGACATCTTTGTAAAAATATTTGTTTCATTTTTTGTTTAGTATTTATAGCACTCTTTGCATATTTATATGTTAAAAACAACGTACGGGTAAAATTTACTAGTTTATATCTACTAAAGCTCAGTTGGCCTCCACTGTTCATCACGTGAGAGGGTTACTGTTCACCAGCAGTGAACTCTCCAAGCTGCCCTCATATTCCTTCCTTCCCGGTTTTTTTTCCCTCTCTGCTGCAGGAAAATGACCTTCTTGCCCTCGAATCCAGCGTTTGATTTTTTTTCCGCCCGAATGCTCTTCACGTGTTGATCATCGCTTTGGCTTCTCTTTGTCGTTCCCCATTTTTCGTACTCCGCACAGTGGAATGACGTCCATCCTGTCCATGCGTCGATCATCGTCGAAGGGCTCTGCTTCGACTCCTTCTTGACCTTTCCTCCGACTCTCCTACACGTTGCGGTCTTGTCTCATCTCTCACTCTTTTCTCATGCTTTCCTTCTCTACTGAAGAAGCCTTCCATCCATTTCGATCTCTCCCACAAACCCTTATGTTGCCAAAGCTTGCCTTCTCTCGCTCTCCGATCTCGACTTCTCTCTCTCACCTTCCTGCTGAAAAAGACCAACCCAGTAGAAATTTCTCTAGTTCTCTCTTAAAAAACTACAAATCACAACGGCCAAACTCCCAAAAAAAAAAAAATAAATAAAAAAAATGGAATTCGAAAAGCCATTTGCTTTTCCTTGGATTTGCGTTTTGTGGTGAGTTTCCCAGTTTTGTCTATCGGTTTTTTTCTAATTTTGGATTTGCAAATGAGTATTCTTTTTTCTTTGTTCCTTCGTGACTTGCATGCTGCTATATAATTTGGTTCTGTTTTTGTTTGTTCTCAGAGTTTGGTGTGTGGGAATCTGTTAATGCTTCATTTTTGCTCTGTACCAAGAGTTGTTTTCTTCTTTCTTATGGTTGTGAATATATATATATATATATGTGTATGTGTGTGTGTGTGTGTGTGTGTGTGTGTTTGGTGTGTGGGAATCTGTTAATGCTTCATTTTTGCTCTGTACAAGAGTTGTTTTCTTCTTTCTTATGGTTGTGAATATATATATATATATATATATATATATATGTGTGTGTGTGTGTGTGTGTGTGTGAACATATAATACCTTCGTTTGGAGTGAATCGAAAAGCTTACTACGATAAAATTATATTTTGTGGTACTTGAATATTAGCCCATGGTATAATCAGTTTCTACACAATGTCTAGAAATCAAAGGACCCCAAATTTGCTAGAAAACGAGTAGAGGTTGGTTGTCCTGCAATCTAACCTCAATAATTATGGTTTAACCTTTATAAATTTTGGATTTTTTTAGTTAATTGTTTGGACTTTGAATTGGCAGATGAGGATATACTAAATTTTGAACTTTGATTTTTGTTTTGTGTGATTGCAGAGCAAGGAGAATTGACCCCAGTTAGCTCCCAAATTAAAGTTTCAATAGTTTCGTTATGTGTAATTTTCAAATTTAGTTTTGAACTCTGACTAAAAATGGAACTTGGTGCCATTAAGCGATCGTCCCCAGCCCTCAAAATTCAAGTAACCCCATGATTTTTACATTAGGGAAAGAGAGGGTAAACTTGAAATTGAGCGACGACAAAATTCCCTCTCATATGAGCACAGGAGAGTTCAAAGAGAGCTTTTGAGTGCTACTCAGAAGGTAGGCTCCATGTGCAATTGTTCTTTGCTATCTAGGCAATTTCCTGGAACATTGAGTAGAAAAACAAATTAGAATTTTGTTAGTTTTTTCTGATTAAGTGTAAGCGTTAATTCTACCTTTCTACAATTTCTCATTGCTGCTTAAGTGGAACAATATTAACTCAAACATTGCGTATGAAGAGAATGAAGTTGCATAATCTTTCATAAATTTTTCAATCCTGCATCAACACGCGGACACAAATATCTAGCTAATAGCTATGGCCCAAACGATAAATCATGTCGTATGAAGGCTACAAGACGAGCAAACCCTAGTGCATGGGTTGAAACCATTCCGTCAGAAGCTGCCAAATCACTTGGACCAGATAAATTGAAATCAAAGTTGTTAGTTTGTATGAGGTGAACCAACGTAATAAGTTAAAAGAGAACCCTTCGTTGAAGGACTTGACAGGAGGGCCCTTCATTGGATTTAGAGAGGTTTGTGAAGGAAAATCATTACCATCTTCATTTTTTCGAATTGAAAAAATAAATAAAGTAGGGTTTAATTTTACTGTTGTTTGATTTAGTCCTCAGCACCATTCGTGGTATTTTTACTTATTCACTACCCGATAAATAAAACCCATTTTTTAATTTTATGGATTTTGGTGTGATTTTGTTTTTTAATGTTTTCTTGGTGATTGAATTTTGGGTTTCTAGCCGTCCCCAATTTTAGTCGACCCAGGCAGCAAAGAGAGTTTGCCCCTGTTTGCTTTCCTTTTCTCACCAGATATCTCTGCCAGCATGATCCGCCAAACTTGCCGATCGCGTCTGCTCTCGCTGACCAGGTATGATTTCTTTCACTTTCCGTTTGTTTCCCGGGAAAATTTAGGGCTAGAAAGTGTGTAGAATTTTAATCTTTAAACTTTAAACTGTCCTGTGCACAGAGAAATTGAATTTTAATCCCAGTTTCTGTATTCCTCTATAATTGAAGGTCTTCGACTCCCTAAAAGGCTGATTAACACCAGCAACCACAACACCAACAATGACTAATGCAACTTAGGTGCAATTAAACAACCATAATTCCCAAGTTTTGATTAATTTTTTTTACTAATTCGCTATCTTTTAAATATAATCATACCATCCGTGTTGATATGAACAGTCCATTATATGTTTATTGTGTTGAAAGATGCGGAAAAAAATGGAAAATTTGGGGTGAGTTTGTTGTGTTTTGGTTTAATCGTTTGGGGAATGTGGAGGTGTTACTTCAAAATTGAAATTGGATGGTACTTTATTGGTATAAATCACGCTACTCTCAATAAATTTTCTATTGTTTTTTACAATGTCTTTTTTTTTTTTTTGTTGTTGCTTAAGCTTAGATAAAGATTGAGGCTTTGAATTGAGAGTGAGCTTAATTATTGTTCAGTGTTTATTCTGTTTGGTGCATTTATGGCCTTTGTGGATAACGGAACTCCATCGCTTCTGAAGTCGCAGGTGAGGATTGCAAGGTTTTTTCATTTCTCTGGTATTGATTCATCGAGTTTGCATGTGGCTGAAAATGGTGTTTCAGTTGCGAGGAACAACACATTTACAAAGTATATTCAAGAATGTGTGGTCGGTTGTTTCTGATGTTATGATTTTGTTATCAATTTAAAAACCGTGGTTTGTACTTTTAGTATTACTTTGGCATTTTGGTGTAATGGATTTTTTTGTACCTAATTGCAGACCTTTCGTTTGCTCATGATTTAGTAGTTGACTGAGTATCCATGTTTATACATACGTTGATCTTTTTTTAGGCAACGTGTTCATTTGGCTAAAATTTTGTGATCAGTTTTCTTCCCTGGAAATTTTCCAATTAGTTTAATTCTATTTGAATATGTATTATTTCTTTGTTCAACATGGATACCTTTTGGTTTGTTGGTTAGGCATTTTGAGTGCTTATCAGTTATTCACTAAAGGTGGTTTTATTGGAACTACTTGAACTTCTTCGGATGCCTGTCTTAAAAGCAAATGGAGAGGGTGTAGCACTGTGTATGCAGTTAAATGATGATGTTGTATTTGATATGCACAAAATGATTTCATCAATTGTGTTGTATCTACTATATGTATGCAAAACATATTGCTAGCTAAGCTTATTGTTATTAACCCTTCCCTCCTACCTTTCGATTTCTGTTATGATGTGCAGGCTATTGAATTTGGGAGAAAGCTTGCATGCAAACTCTTTTTTGCATAATGTTCTTGAGTGAGTCCCTTGAACTTTGCCTTGAAGTGTCTGTATATTCTCATCCACTTTGTTGTATTGCTAGGAAATTTTGAGTGGAAAGAAGTTCAAAGAAAAATACTCAAGCAAAATTACATTTGATCTACAAATGGTTGGACTGACATATTTCTTAAACAATGAAGGCGTGAAATATAAGTGGACAATTACAATTTTTGTTTTCATGTCAAACCAACTTGCGTCACATATATTTTGCCATTGTTGACATATTTTCTTCCTTTGTTTTGAACAATGCTTTTATGTTACACCGGGAAAAATCTATTTGAGGATGGGAACCACCTGTATTGGTTCTTGGATGATGATCCAATTGTATCTCGGTTTCAGAATAGGAAGGGATAACCGAGTTGAGTTCATGGATTAGAGTAGGTTGGGTTAATTATGCTTTAGCATATGCTTTCTTTGACTTAATGTCAATTAATTGACGTTTATCATAGTGTGCATGTGCAGATGCTTTTTATTTTTTCAATTGATGCTTTAGCAGTTTCTATTATCTACTTTTTCGGCTATAAATCGTATATATTATTTCAAAATACATGTTCTTCGTGACAATCTATGGTATTTATGAAATAATTCATGTTAGAAGTCACACAACCGTGCGGGCACTTTTGCTAGTTCTCTCTAGTTTTCAGGTGGCTTTTTTTATTAAGCTTTGCAGAAAGCAGCAGATCGAGAGCTTGGAGTAATCTACTTTCATAGAGATTGTGGATTGAACTTGGAATCTAGATTCTCCATGATATACGGATTCAGGCCGCCAAAAACTGTAAGAAAGTTCGTATACTTATTATCTGACATGAGTTCCTTGGAGTCACACAGCCGTGAGTCTTGATTCCAGAAATAAATACATGGAGCACAACCTAAAACCGAAAAGCTAAACTATCTGACTTTGAAATCACTAGTAGTTCTTCTTGTTGAAATCACGGAACCACCTAGCTGAGAGCTTGGGGTAGCGCTTGTAGTTGTTGCCGAAATCAATATAGTAAAGTCCATATTGCAGCGAAAACCCGAGACCCCATTCAACATCGTCGAATAGAGCCCAGTAAAAGTACCCTTTGACGTTCGCTCCATTCCTGCAATACATTAGATAAGAACGAGAAATTTTTCATTGAGCTGATATTATGTTAATTAAAAGGTTACATCACTTACTTCATTGCCTTGTTCAACCGATACAAATGCCGAGCAATATAGGAAGCTCGATGGGGGTCGTATAATCGTTCATGAAGCGAACGGCTGTCATTCCTTGTGTTAGTATATCCTATCAAAATTGCAGCGGATGTAGCAATTCATATTAGGGTTCAATGATTACTTGCATTAGCAGTCGGATAATTTGAAACGTATGTGGAATAACTGAAGCACAAGTAAGAAATCCGACCATTTTCAGAAATGTAAACCTGTGGCCCTTGATATTTATTCTTCACATAATTCATCAGCTTCTGCAGCCCTTGAGGCCAAGTACTATGGGACTGCACCACAAGGAATATGCAAGCACAAATTTTATGCAACAAAGCTTCAAGAACATTGTTTCGTTTTGACAAAGGGAATTGTTATTGGCACTTCAAAAATCTTATTCTACACTTCGAACTTTCTATATTTAGAAAGAAAAATACACTTATGAGGAGTGTAGAATGAAATTTTTGGAGTACCAATAACACTTCCCTCGACAAAACTAGTCAGCATGAAAGTAAAAGTTTAGAAATTTTCTTACCACACCAGAAACGTCTGGGATCGCTGCAATAACCAAGACATAATCAAGAGACAGCATTAGAACCTATGCTTGATTTTATTTTCTTTCATTATGGCTATGGCAGGTACAATATTTTACCTGTTGCTTCGGCCCATGAATCGAATGAATACCGCAACTGCTCTGTGGGAGGAGCAGGCCTGTGTTTTGCACCAGCTGATGAGTAATAGTTTATCCCAACAAAATTACCTAAACTCCCGTTGAGTAGAGATTTCTCTTCGGCAGAAAAGGTGGGCAACCTTTCCTTCACCAGATCTCTCATGCTTCGTGGATAGTTTCCGAACACCAAGGGTTCCATAAACCTAATGAAAATTAAAGAAGCTAATATTAATTGCTAATGAGATTAATGGACATCTTAAGGTGATCTTGAGGGGTTATTCTGACCATCCTAGGGTGAAATCAAAGAGTCGCTTTGCTGCAGCTTTATCTTCCTGTGATTTGGAAGATGGCGCAAAATAAGTTGCAGCAAGGACGATTCCAACTTCTCCTTTTTGCTCTTCCTGGAAGATGACATTCAAAGAAAGCTTTGACAAGATTCATTTAATAAGTTTGAATAAAGATGAATGTGATTTCTTTCAAGCCTTTAAATTTGACCTGGTATTTCTCCCTATATAGTTTTGCCACTGCGGCGTGAGCAAGGATAAGGTTATGGGCGGCAATGTAAGGTTCCGTTGATGAGTTACCACCAAAGCAGGGACCGGCAGGCACAATACATGTTCCTGGAGGTGGAGCTCCCAACCCACATTGTCCTTCTGGAAGGGAACACCTTCCTGGTGGGGCAATCCCTATCTCATAGCCATACACTGCAAGAGAACTCGGCTCATTAATGGTGAACCAGTGTTTGACTCTGTCTCCAAATAACTTGAAGCAAAGGTCACTGTAGTCTTGGAAGTCTTGCCTGCAAGACAGAACACATGTTTTACAAGAGGAGATCGATTCCGTGGACATATACTTGCAAAATGGTTTCTGAAACAAGACTTACACGAACTTGCGATTCAAATAGCCCCCATATTTTACTTGCAGCGCTTGTGGCATGTCGAAGTGATAGATCGTGACAAAAGGCTCGATGCCTGCATCAGGACACAGAAAACGCATTAAATCAAGCACATCCTTAAATCTTTTAAGCATAAATAACAATATTGGTTTCAAAACATACGCTGCAACGCGTGTACTAATAAGCTCTCAGAAGCGAACTTTATTTACCATGAACATTTCATAAGAAACGCAACCAGGAAAAAATCAACATGAATGGTTGAGCCAAAGCAAGTGAAATTATAGTGGTGAATCTGGTAGCTTCTTACCATTTCGTTTTAATTCATTGATTAGACTGTTATAGTGATCCACACCCCGTTGATTAATACCGCCGCTTAGGCTCCCCTCTGCAAAGGATTCATCAACAGCCCCCATTGTTTTGTTATAAATGATCAAACACTAGGGTTTTTCTTAAACAAGTGGAAAATGGAATTAAAAAAGAAAACGAAGTGACGGGAGGTAAAGGAAGGGAAGGGTTTAGGGTTTACGTGGTAAAATCCTACTCCACGAGATGGAGAATCTGTAGGCATTTACTCCGAGATCCTTGATGATCTTAATATCCTCCTGCAATGCAGATTATTCCATACAATTTATTAGTTTAGATTTCTAAAAAATAACTCCATTTTCAAGCTAGAATGTTTTGATCTTTTGCTACTCACCTTGCATCTTTTGTATCCATCAATTGCAAAGGGGAATTTGTCACTGTTCGGAATGCTACCTGCAATTGAATTTTTTAACTGAGCTTTCTAATATGTAATGTATGAAGAAAAGATATTGAAGGTTATGAGAACCTGGGAGCATTTTGGCACGGTGATCCCACACACTCGGTCCTCTCCCTTCTTCTTCGGCTGCCCCTTCCGTCTGCACTCAGCATCACATTAATCAATATTTTCTACATATTTGATGCTGATCATCAACAAAGAAGACATGAGGTTGTATATGAGTAAATTAACCATTTTTAACATGAATGTACCTGTGTAGCTGCAGTGCCGACACCAATGTAAAAATCACTTGGAAAATCATCTCGGGTGATGTTTAGTTCGAAAGTGAGTGCAATACTGCTTTGATTCACCTCAACTGCAACAACACCATTTACAATGAATTGAAGAAAGTTGAGGTTGCACTATAAAATTAATTGGTAATATGGGAAGCATCCCAACTACTTAAAAGATCTCGGCTCGAAATAAGCATCGTTGACTTCCTCCTCGTTATGGTTCACGTTCATTTTCGTTTGCTAGAAAAAAATATTTTAATTCTCTTAACTATTCGGCTGCTTAGTCCATGCTTAAGAAAATAAGGGGGGCAACAAGTCAATGTTCATACATTAAGCATCCAGTAGAATTTGTCTCGAACACATATATCTGTAGACATGGGTTGTTCTGATGGTCTTAAATTCTTACTGGCACCCGAGAAAAATATTTTATGACTGAAGCAAATGGTTTCTCTGCTATAAAAGAAATGTTAACTTGGTGGTCTGGACTCAACACACAAACAAATGCTCCATGCAAAACTCTCTCACACCCCTGAGAAAAATACTAACTGCTTCACCAAACCCTCAGTCAACACAAATTAATCTGGTTAAACATCAATAGGTTGACAAACTGGCACCATATTCAATTTGGTCACTATAGTCGTATAATCAGTTGGTCTAGGACTACCTTCAGTTTGTTAAACAGCACTGCTTCTATTTGGGTTGGTTGCCTATCCAAAGGCCTTTTTCACGAGTGAAAGCTGCCCGTTGCCCGTCCTTCGATCATGTACCACACCATCTTTGCTAGTGAGGAGTCTTTGATTCTCTTGCTGAATGAGGTCACTTCATTAGCTTTCTTGTCAAATTGAAGTTACCCATGTTACTTAGTTCGACATGTTGAAAGTCGATCCATTATTGAACTTTTGTTAGCCGTATAAATTACAAAACCTATATGGCGTGCAGGCCAATAAAGTACTGAGCTAATTATGTTCTTCTGTTGATGAGCGCGTGCCAATTCGCTACGGAGCTTGGTCAGGCAAATGAGCTGAATGTTGTAGTCTTGTGATGAAATGCGTTGCTAACTTATATATTGAGTCACTTTCGTCGAGGAATGAACACTCTCGGCATAAGGTTTTTGTGACATGGAGACAAGGTTATGCCTTTGATGTGAAGTTCAATAATGGTTTGTCTTTCAATGTGCCCAACACTAAGTAACCTAGGAACACTTCACTTCGCAAGTAAGCTAATTAGGTGACCTTGTTCAACAAGAGAATTAAAGATTCTTTGCCACCAAAGACTTGGATAGGTAATCAACCGAAATAGAAGTAGTGGTGTTTAACCAAACTAAAGGTACTCCTTGATGCACTGATTCTACAACTCCAATGTTATTTAACCTACTGAATATGGCGCCAGTTTATCAACCCAATGATATTTAACCAAAATGAATATGTGACGACTGAGGGGTTAGTGAAGCAGTTAGTATTTTTCTCATCAGTGGAGTTGAAGGTTATTTCTATGTTGCAGAGCCACTTTTATTTATATAAGGGCAAATTTTGTGATGAACAAGCTTGTCGAGTCGTAGAATCCTGATAACACTACAACTCATCGACATATTCTTAGTATACTTAGAATTATCCTTGACTGAAGCTTTATCACCATCATGTCTCAATCTCTTCCACCTGAACCATGACTCTAAACCTGGTCTTATTACGTAATCAATTTATACTCTATCCATTAATTAAACAATTAATCTCAATCTTATCATAAACTAATTCTAATCGTCGAACAATCCTACTTTGACAGTTGACTACGACTTAGTCACATCATAAGCTAATCCTTGAGCAATCCTACTTCGTCCAGGATTCAGCTACATCAGTAGCACTGTTGGCCTGAGACTGTCGAGACTTAATTTGGCCAAAAATTTTAATTATGCCCAAACAATTTCACAACAAAAGGCATAACCTTGTCTTTAGGTTAGCATAACCCTAGGCCAAGAGTATTTCTTCCTTAGCCAAAGTCACTCTGTGTAGAAGTCAGCAGCGCGTTTCATCATCACATCATTGCATCCTTCTTATTCGCCCAACCGACCTTGATAGTGATTTGGCACAATCGCATCAACGATCCACATAAGAACTTAATTTGCTTATTAGTTACTTAACTTGCACGCCACATAGGTATTGCAGTTTTCAGAGTCAACAGAACTATTTAGCAGCACCTCATTAGCGTGAAAGGGGAGCAATATAGTTGAGTCTACAAAATGATGCATGACATGCAATGCATGAGCTAGAACTGAAAGTCGCGATTAAGGTTCTTGGCTAGTGTAGTCCAAAAGTTCTGGAATTCAGGTAGGGGAATTCTCGGGAAACTTCATGTATTATATTGTTATTTTTATATGGCTTCATTTAGATGATTATGTAATAAGTGTTATTTAGTTCAATTGTTCGATTACTTGACCAATACGAGTCATATGTTTATGAGTCATATGTCATGATGATATCCCCTTATAATTATCGTGAATGATAATTATTTCATGCATTATGGACTTATTGGGAAGGTATCAAAAGAATTGAATAACCATGATCATTGCATTATGGAAAGTATGTGATTTATGAAAGTATGAAACTAAAAGTAGTTGAGTCTATTTTTGGGGAACCAATAGTTGTATGATCAACCCAAAGTGCACGAGAAAAGGAAATGAAGCATTTTCGGTTAGAGTCAAATAAATGATCAAATCGGGTTTTGGATTTGGGTACTGAGAATTTGACAAGATGACTAAAAGAGAAAATGAGGTTATCTGTCAACTGGCATGGGTTGATAGAGTAGAGTGAAGAGGAAACATGACATTCATACATTGATAGGTGTTGACATGAAAAAGTAGTCGATTTTTAAATCTGGAGAAACTTTTAAAGTAAATTGGAGTGTGATTGTATGCTATAATGAAACCTTGTGATGTAAAATAAGAATATTTATTTTCTTTTTATTTTTTATTTTATTTTATTCACACACCTCGGATTATTTTGCGACCTCGAATTTAGGGCGCGACATACAAGGTCCTTCATTTCCTTTGTGTGAGATTGATAAATTAGAGATATTTGATGTGTCTAAATTTTTTGTCCCAGGAAAAAGGCAAGGAGAACAATAATTAGAACATTCGAACCAGTAAAACATAACTGTTCTCCTCCTCCTTTTTTGATTAAAGACGAACGAACAGATACAAATGCTTTTGTTTTGTTTTGTTTTTTTTATTTTTTTATTTTTTTATTTTTTATTTTTTTATTGATAGACTCGGCAGTGTGTTTCATTACTAAGAACAATCAAATATAAGAAGTGTCAGATGGGTACAATTTCTTTAGTGATCAATTTCTTGATTTGGAGATAGTTTGCACAAGATGCAAATATTTTAAACCTCTATACAACTACCACAATAAACCAACACAAACAAAAGTTCCGTGTAAAACTGTCACAAAGACAGTAAATGCGACAGTCCTAATACTAGTACCTTGACATAAACACTTAAACATAACTTCGCTTAATCATAAAATGAAATGAAGGATGATACAGATAAATGATGGCAAACCTTGAGCCAAGGCAGATGATGCAGCAGCAGCTACCAAAACCATGACACAGATGGCCACGGAAGAAATGACTGAACAAGGTGATGCTTCCATTTTCTTCTGGTTCAAATGCAAGTCACTTGTGCTCTCCTTTATAGTGTCAAAGGAAGCAGAGACAACTGACGAAGGGATTAATAATTAATGCAAAACGTGTTTTTGTTGGCCTTCGATCAGTTTATTTAGTAATTAAAGTGTGATAATAATTTGAGTCGTTATATATATGTATATTAGGATAAATTGCAGGGTAATGTAAAATAGTTAAGTATAACCACGAACTTTTACCGGGATTAAAAATAGGAATTGGTAAAAATCCCCTGTTTTCGACACCATGGAGGTTGAACTTTCATTCTTACAACTATCTTTTTGAAGCAGATAATTCATAGTGCTCATTCTAGTCGTAGTAGTCGGCTCAGAGAGTCTCTGTTCTATACTAAAAAACTACTTCGGGGAATTACGTCGCTCTTTGATTTGAAGAATAAGGCCTACGAGCTCTCTGTTTTTTGGCAATGGTAAAAGGCGGATTATGGTACTTCCTTAAAACAAAAAACTGGAGGTCTCGAGTTCGAAACCCGCTGCTGGTGTGGAAACCAGACTTCTAACCATGAAGAGGCTAAAATGTCTCTGTAAGTTTTTCCGGCTCCCGAAAAGGTGGATAATCGTGGTTTACCACCACTTGTTTCCCTTTTTAAAAGAAAATTAAATCAAATAGTGTAAGTATAGTGAATTACATTTTTCTTTTTATTTTTATTCTCATTTATGTTCGGGTAAATTTTCATTTACCCATGCACTATCATGTGAGTGCCAATTAACCCTTGAATTATTTTTTCAGCCAATTTACCTCTAAACTCTTTAAAATTTGGCGAATTTTGAACCTTACTGGTAAGTTTTTTTTATTTTGCATCTAATTTGCTGTTTTGTTTTTTAAGATATTTTTTTGTTTAATTTAATTTATTTAGCTAATAAAAGGATGGGATCATTCACACACCTCTTTTTGCTTTTATTACATTCTTTCAATTTATGATCGTCCGATCGAATAAATTAAAAAAAAACACCAAATAACTGATTTAACTGTGTTTGGGAAAGTAAAAAAATGTGTGGGATAGTAGTAGTATTACCCTAACGTAGTTCAAATTAACATACCAAGCAAACCTAATGAATGAAGAAACGTCGTTATAAACATCTGACTTAAAGTGATTAAATTAGTTCAACGTTTAGTGATAACTTATGACGCCAAAACAATTAAACAGTAGAAAATTCATCTTTCATGATCAATATTTCGATTATAAATACACATTTTCCGGTTTTCTAATCTCGACAACTCCAAAAATTCTCCCATTAAAAAAAATAATGGCAATAAGTTTCAACATCTACCCAAAAGATATTACGACTTTGTTTCTGGTGTTTGCTGTAACAATATCACCAGCAGTTACAACCACACTACCCCTTTCTCCATCGGAATCTCCCTTTTCTCTGCCAGCATCAATTGCGTCCTCCATCGTGTTTCCGCGGAGTTGCAGCATCGGTTTTTCCGAATATTGTGGAACAGAAATATATGGTAACATGCTCTTTGGCGACCATGCAGACCTCGAACCAGTTTGTTGCCTTGAGCTTATTACTGCGGGCGTAAAATGCCACAGAGCATTGGTGAAACTAGCTCTTAAACTAACTCTTCCAAATGTAAACAAAAGAAAGGCTTTGAAGCTGAGTAGAGAACAATGGGATGCTTGTCTACCTTATGGTGATTTGCTTGGCTGGTAACTCCCAGTTCTATCTCCTTCTACAAAATAATAATTCCATACCGGACTTTTAGAGAAAATAAGGAGGCTTTGCCGTGAGTTGTTACACATGGATTGGATTTGTGAATTCGATCTGTTATGTTTATCGTGAGATGAATTTTGTAGCCGATGAACCGGCTAACTTGAGGTTGCTACATTATATTATCAATCAAGCTCCTGCCTCCTGTTGATGCCTCTAGTGGTGAACGTTGCTGGAACCTCTAGATCTCAGTGATATTTTATTGTAGTTTCTCTTTGCTGGTGTTTAGCTTTGTTGTTAATCAAAAGAAATTAATCAAAACAATTCTGTGTTTATATTCTAACCATCGTGGGCCTCGGGGTAATTTGATTTGAATCCCATGTACGTAACTAATTGGATACAAATTTTCTATTTAAAACGCAATATTCCTTTTTTTTATTCAAGTGCAATAGTCCATATTTTTTATTAGGAAAATTAATGAAAATGACTTGAAAACTTTAAGTTTTAATGATAAGGACAAAATAAAGGGTAAAATGAATAATACCAGGATTGACTTTTTAGTGTAAAAATGTGGTTTTTCGTTGAAGAACACTACTGTGGGTTTTTCGTTAAAACTCCCTTCTTTATTTGCCGGAGCCTAAGTACCTCGAGAGTAGAAACGATTTCCAATTCGAAATGATTTTTTGTATGATTGATCTTCAAATGAAGATTAATACATTAAACGGTTCCAGTTGTTGATTTTATTCAATCAAGATTTGTTATTTGCAAACAGAGAATATGTGCATCCCCACATTATCATTTTAGAAGGATACAAGGAACCTTTCATGGATTTCATATCACTAGTACAAAAAACAGTTTGCGCGACACAAGTACCTTCGTCGCGCAAAGTCAAAAAAAGTTGCCTGAAAATTAGCCCAACAAAACCTTCGTCGTGTGCTAACCGTCACGCAAGGGCAGTGAAAGCAAGGTTTACAGGTGGTTGCGCAAAACTATTTTGCGCAACAAATGTGCACCTTCGTCGCGCAATGTTGGGAAAAAAAGCAGTTGAAGTCTTGGTTTGGCGCCAAAAACTTGTGCAACGCATATACCTCATCGCGCAAATAGTCTTTGCACGACGGTGAAACAAGACGTTGCGCAAAGGACGTTTGTGCAACGTGGTATGTGCATAGCGCAAGCTTTTGGCGCCAAACCAAGACTTTACCGCTTTTTTCCCAACATTGCACGACGAAGGTGCATGTTCGTTGTGCAAAATAGTTTTGCGCGACCAAGACTGCCATTGCGCAATCTGTCGCGCAAAACTATTTTGCTTAACCAAACCTTCATTGCGCAAAGTCAATGACTTTTTCCACATCACTTACATCATTTAAGACATGTTGCGCAAAATAGTTTTGCGCGACGCCAATCTTCGTCGCACAAAGTCAACAACTTTTTCCACATCACTTAAGATGTTTGCGCGTCGCGGTATGTGTGTTGCACAAGCTTTTGGCGCCAAACCAAGACTTTTACCATTTTTTTCCCAACATTGCACTACAAAGCTTTTGTGCTTCCGCAAAGCTGTTTTGCGCGACAGCAGACTTCATCGCGCAAAGTTCCGTTGCGCAAGTATGTTTTTGTACTAGTGTATAGAAAGGAAATCAACAAGACTTCGAAACAAATCGTATTAATTTCTAGATCCGACTAAATCTGTTGAGAAAAATTATTTGTTCTTATTAGAATCGGTTTTTTGACAATTCAATAATACACAAATCCATAATAAAATTAAAAAATAAGCAAAGAATTGTTTGATTAAATTCAAATAATCTGTCACAAGAAACTATTTCAGTATGTCAGGAATACAGTCCAATACAATAAGTTTCCATGGTTGAATTTTTTTTTTTTTTTTGCAAGTATCTAACCATTTATATTATGACACTTGGTATATTCACCTGAAAAATCTCTCCCAAATCACAACCTTCTATAGTTAATGTTTTATAGAAGGAAAAGAAGGTAAGGAGACTTTGGTAAGAATACAAGGAAAAGAAGGCGAGGAGATTTTGGTAAGAACCTAGAGGTTATTAGCCTGATCAATACACTGAGTCTACTGCTCTCAAGCCAAACTCAGAGCCCTTGATGTATTTACTTTTGGAAGATGATGTGCAAGAGCTGCCTTCACCAATATAAAGTGGCACTCTTCTTCCCTGTCTATAAGCTGCATGCAACTAGTTCTGTCGAAAAATGGACGGTCGCCATACCAAAAATTTCATATCAATTTTCTTTTGCTGGCCAAGATTTTCTTGTGGTCGAGATTAGCAAACAAGAAAATGAGTGTTCATAGCCCAAGTATTTGATCATGTAATTAACGTACAATTCCAATTATTAAATTTGTTTTGGTGTCATAACTTATGACTGAACGTTAAACTAATTTATTTACTTTTAATCAGATATTCATAATGGCGTTTTTCTACTCATTTAGTTTTTTGTGTAAATGAGCTGAAATGAAATTTTACATATGTCAATGGTTAAAATAAATAACGATAGCATTATTGATCAATATTGACAATATATCGATAAAATCCAAAAAAATTATCGTTTGGTGTAGCGGCACTGGATTTATAAAAAAAAAAATTCCTTATTTTGGCCAATTTTTCGATTTTCTATGAAAAAAAATATACATTACATATTGGAGAGGTGCTTGTGTGGGGCAAAACTGGTGGTATAACGCAAAATCTAATCGAGAGATTCAATGAGTACCCATGAAGATTTTAGTGGATATCATAAAGATCATGGTGGGCGATTCGAGTGGATCGAACACATATAGCTTGTCTACGTTGAAAATGTTGATTGGTTTGCTGAAAAACAATAAACAAGCAGCAATGAGCTGTAACCACAAGAAAAACAGACAGCAAAACCATCAACGTTGCATCAAAGCAGTAACAACAAATACTAACTATTCATGAGTACATTCCATTCCGTAAAATAGATTCATTACCAGCGGAATGGGCGATTTTAAAGAACTGAACTGAAGTATAATAACGGTCTTAATTAAGTTGGGAACCACATCAGCGGATCTACATGAGTTCTTGAATCTATGGTTGTTCCACTTCTTCTAAGCATAATATACGACAACAATTAGACATAACTTCAACACTATCGATGATAGAGATTTTTTCATCCAACTACTGGCAGCCCACATGACAAAGAGAGCCCAAGGAAGCCTTAGCCAAGAGACACCGCACTTGAACAACAACGAAGACGAAATACAATCAACAAAAGGACATTCAAGGAAGAGGTGACATTAGAACTCTGTAGTAGTAGAGCAAAGGACACAAGTGACAAGAGCCGACGGAGCAAAAGTCAAAATACTATCCATAGTAGAAATCTTGCAAATAACGGCCAACCAAAGAAAGAAGCTCATCTTGAAAATATTTTGATTATACCAAAGAAGTTTAAACCAACCTACCTAAGGCTTAGATTGCCGAAACTTATCTCAAGCAGCAACATCATAATAGATGCCAGATGAAGATGTCCATCAAATCATATGAGCCAAGCTAGGGTTTGGCACAATATTAGGCATAGAAATTTGAATTTCCAACAACTCATGAGAAGAATTTTTAGGCCAACACTAATTAGAACCATTCAAAATATTGCAAACTAAAGCCTAAGGGAGTGAACTAAGACTTACAATTGACTAATAATAATGTGGTTTGAATTCGCCTTAACAAGAATCGAATATAAAATTTCTCATTTACAAGTGAAGATAAATACTACTAGATTGTAAACATAATGTTAAATAGCCAGTAACTCTTATTTATATTTACAATACTATTAAGGGGTTTTTTGAAATAGATCAAAAGTAACTAAAAATTAGACCTATTTTAAAAGTCAAAAGTCACTAAAATTGGATCTATTTCAAAAATTAATTTATAAAATTAAATTTATTTCAAAAATTAATCTATAAAATTAAACCTATTTCAAATTTTTCTTATTAATAAATATAAGTTATAGTGTCAAAATTAGTGTTAAATGAATCACATCACATGTCAAATAGAAGATTGACATAGACATTTGACAACCACAAAAGCACCAAATTGGAAAAGCCAAATCAAATACGTCACCATGTATAAATAAATTATAAAATACACTCACCTCTCTGTTTCTTTCTTCGTCTGTCCATTCGTCTTCGACTTACAGCCACAGAAAAAGCACCTTAAGCTTCTGAAAAGCACTTAGCCATGAGCAGTACTTGCTGAATAAAAGGGACCCGCTTCTCTACCCTTCACTTCTCATACATTATTATTTCTTCGTATTTTGTGCAGTCACAGTTAAGATACGTTAATATTTTATGTTGATTTTTTTTAATAAAGATAATAAGATAAAAAAACAATATTGATATAAAATATTAACGTGACTTAACTGTAACCGCACAAATAGAAAGAGATGAGAGTGTATAAAAACTGGAAGGACAAAGAAGCCAAGTCCGAATAAAAGAAAACTAAGGCATATTTGACGATTTCTTCTTCGAATTCGTATATATAACTGCTAATTTTTCTCTTAATTTTAGTTCTTATTGTTCATTTTTCTGAATTTTATAAATAATCGATTTCGTTTGTTGGCGTTAAACTTGAATTTTCATTTAATCAATTTCTCTTTTAATTCAAACAGAAAGTGTAGAGGTTCAAATTACAAAAGATGAGAGAATACTCAGAATAGCAATCTGTAGTTCATATTAATAAGAAAATTACTCTATTACCTTAAACATTTATAATGTGATCAAAATTACTAAAAAATTCTAAAATCTAAATAGAAGATTGACACAGACATCACATGTCAAATAGAAGTTGACACAGACATTTGACAACCACAAAAGCTCCAAATTGGAAAAGCCAAATCAAATACGTCACTATGTATAAATAAATTTTAAAATCACACTCACCTCTCTGTTTCTTTCTTCGTCTGTCCATTCGTCTTCGACTTACAGCCACAGAAAAAGCTCCTTTAAGCTTCTGAAAAGCACTCAGCTACAAGCAGTACTTACTGAATAAAAGAAAACTACGGCATATTTGACGATTTCTTCTCTGAATTCGTATATATAGCTGCTAATTTTTCTTTTAATTTTTTTTATTGTTTATTTTTCTGAATTTTATAAATAATCAATTTCGTTTGTTGGCAATCTGTTGTTCATATTAAGAAGAAAATTACTCTATTACCTTAAACATTTGTCATGTGACCAAAATTAATAAAAATATTCTAAAATCCAACGCAGGAAAAGATTGGTTGATTATAAAATTTGAAAGAAGAATCAAAATGAAAAATAAGAATAGAAATTAGCAACTTATTATAAATTTAGAAAAACTTTTACCTCTTACCCACTCATGCTATTTTTTATTTTGTAATTTTTTAAATTTATTTGATATATAAAATTTAAGAAAATGTGTAAAAATAAAAGAAATAACACTGTTCTAAAACCAACCGACACTATGACCCACTATTTTCCCTGCTCTTGAAGAAAAGCGACTTTTTATAGAACACGACAACTCATAATTATAAAGAATTGTTATTAACACTTCATGTCACATCCTGGTCTAGGCGGATCACTTCCCGGACCCGTTCCACCACCGTCGCACGATATTATTCGCTTTGGGCCCCAACTATGCCCTCATGGTTTTGTTTTTGGGAACTCACACGAGAACTTTCCGATGGATCACCTATCCTGGGAGTGCTCTTGCGCGCTACTCGCTTAACTTCGGAGTTCCTATCGAACCCGAAACCAGTGAGCTCCCAAAAGGTCTCGTGCTAGGTAGAGATGTGAATATACATATAAGGATCACTCCCCTGAGAAATGTGGGATGTCATAACCCACCCCCCTTAGGGGCCCGACGTCCTTGTCGGCACACTCGCGACCAGGGTTAGGCTCTGATACCAATTTGTCACATCCCGGCCCGGGGCGGATTACTTCCCGGACCCGCTCCACCACCGTAGCACGATATTGTCCGCTTTGGGCCCCAACTACGCCCTCACAGTTTTGTTTCTGGGAACTCACACGAGAACTTCTGATGGGTCACCCATCCTGGGAGTGCTCTCGCGCGCTACTCGCTTAACTTCGGAGTTCCTGCGGAACATGAAACCAATGAGCTTCCAAAAGGCCTCGTGCTAGGTAGAAATGAGAATATACATATAAGGATCACTCCCTGGGCAATGTGGGATGTCACACTTCAAAATTTTTATTCTACATTCTAAATTTTTTTATATTTAAAAAGAAAAATACACTTGTGAGGAGTGTAGAATGAGATTTTTGGAATGCTAATAAATTTTCCCTAATTTTATTCTTATCATATTTTTATATCACAATTGTATACCACGCATAGCCACGTCATCTAAATTAATTAGTATTGAATTTCAAAATGTAAATCAATAATTAATAAAAATATTGCGAATTAAATGATGATTGTGTTATACGATGAATCTTCTTTACTATTTAAGATTATTTATGTGTTTTAATTAATAAAAATATTGAAATTAAATGATATAGTTTGTTCAATTCATTTGTCACCTAGATAATATAGAAATGTGCTATAAAATTGTTATCCGAAGAAAGGCACTTACAAGGGAAACCTTCAACTTTCTGATCAAAAAATGGTGAAACCTTCAACAATGGCGGAGGAATCAGCAGCAAATCTCAGACTTTGGATCGACCCGAAGAGCGGCTACTGCTCACATACCAAGACATTCCACTCCCTCCGGCCTCCGGTCCCACTCCCGCCACTCTCGCAACCCCTCTCCCTCACCCAATTCACCCTCTCCCTCCTCCAATCCTCTACGGCCAAGCCCACCACGTCCGTCCTCATCGATGCCGCCTCCGGCCGCCATGTCTCCTACCAAACTTTCCTCAGCCAAATCCACTCCCTCACCCTCTCCCTCCAATCCCTCGCGCTCTCCAAAGGTCATGTGGCCTTCATTCTCTCCCCTACTTCCCTCCACGTCCCCGTCCTCTATTTCTCCCTCCTCGCCTTAGGCGTCGTTGTTTCTCCTGCTAATCCAATCGGGTCCGAGTCCGAGATCGCCCACCAGGTCCGGCTAACCCAACCCGCCATCGCCTTCGCCACGTCAGCAACCGCCAACAAGCTCCCCAAAGGGGATGATAAAATCCGCAGCATAATCCTCCTCGACTCACCCGAATTCCTCTCCATGCTCGACCGGGACGGGTCATCCGTAACCCAATCTGACACTTCAGTTGAAGTCAACCAAACCGACCCGGCTGCGATTCTTTTCTCCTCCGGCACTACCGGCCGTGTCAAAGGCGTTATGTTGACTCACTGCAACTTCATAGCCCTCATAGCCGGGATACACGCCTTTCGGCGTGAACCTGACCCGACCCTACCCGACGGCCAAGGCGTGTTGCTGTTCACGCTGCCTCTGTTCCACGTGTTCGGGTTCTGCATGGTTGTTGGGGCGGTGGCTACGGGCGAGACCTTGGTTTTGATGGAGAGGTTCGAGTTCGAAGCTATGCTGAGGGCCGTGGAGAGGCACAAAATATCGTACATGCCGGTGTCGCCGCCGTTGATCGTGGCTCTGGCGAAGTCGGAGTTGGCTCAGAAGTACGATCTCAGCTCGCTTCGGTTTCTCGGCTGTGGCGGCGCGCCGCTGAGCAAGGAGGTTGTTGACAGATTTTGTGAGAGATTTCCCAGTATGGAAATTGGACAGGTCAGAAATTTAACTGCAAGTGGAGATCATTGTTGCCCTTACCAACTTTCAAATTTAAAATAAATTTATCGTTTGACAAAATTTAAAAAAAAAAAAATTAACTTATCATTTTAACGGTTAAAATTTTTATCATCGATATTTTTTGTTAAGTTTCTAACTTTTTCATTCTTAGACCAACTCTAATAGTGGACTAAAAGCTAAATTATCCTTCAAAATTTCCCCCCAAATCCACTCCAACCCAAGGGAAAATTTTGAGCTAAATGCTAAATGCTAAACCAATGTCAATTTCCCCATAAAATTTAGCTCAGAAATCGAGGTGGACTCTACCCAATATTTATCGGAATTTAAATTTTTTTAAATTAAAATGTTCATAAAATTAATTTACTATAGTCTATATATTTATTTTTTTTAAAAAAAATTTAATTTAACAAAAAAAATAGCCTAAGTTCATTATTTAATAATCTCGGACTAAAATTTTAGGATAGAACGGTTGAAGTAGAACCGCTGTTTTTGGGCTAAAAGTTAAATTTTTCGGGCTAAAAAATTTGACTTTTAACCCAACTATTGAAGATGGTCTTATTGAGTAGTGCTATGCATATTATATATTTGTATTATATTTAGAACAAAAGAAGGGCCCACTAATAGCATTTTTGTTCTTTATTTTTAAAATTATTAAATACGCGTTGTAAATTGTAATTTTCTTTTCCTAGCAAACAGTAACAAAACAAATTTAAGCCAATTTGTGATTAATTAAGGAGACTTTTCACCGCTGAATGTAGCTAGGTCAAATGAACATGCGCACAAAATAGTGAAACCATTGACTTGTTTTGTCTAACTAATTGATTAACTCAGGTTTAATTGCTTCGTTGTTCACATAATTCTACCGTCCCCTAATTTAATCATAGTTGTTAATCACTTCATGCATCCCCAGATTCATAGTCTTATACCCGGTTTGGGATTGCTGTGTTTTTTTAATAAATTGCTTCTGTTGTGTTTTAAAGATAATCAACTGCAAAATAGAGTAATTAAGCATTTGATAAACTGTATTTTATAAAAAATGTTCTGAGTATGAAAAACAGTGTCTAGAAAGATAAATAATGTCAATCCTTTAAAATTAATAAGCTTATTACATGAATTAAAAGTATTCTAAAAGCTCAACTCCAATTTTTATTAAAGCAACTTTTAAAAGCAACATACGTGCTGCTTTTAAAAGCTACTATCGGGAGGTCATTACTTTTAAAATAAACAATATATTTTATTTTCGCCGAACACTTTTTTATTGCTCAACTTGAAAGTGAAATAGTTTTTGGTGAATAACGCAATACCAAACTAGGTCTTAGTCTAGTGCAACTTATTAGCAACATTGTCAAATGTTTGAATATTATGGTTGTATAGGGATATGCTTTAACCGAGACCGGAGGAGGGGGTACGAGAATGATTGACTCTGAGGAATGTAGCCGTCGTGCTTCTGTGGGCCGCCTAGCCGAAAATATGGAAGCCAAGATTGCTGACCCTGAAACCGGAGAGGCTTTGCCTCCTGGCAAGAGTGGTGAGCTATGGCTGCGAGGTCCAACAATCATGAAAGGTAACGAGACACTTCCTCTGTCTCGAGTGTTGTATGTTGCAAAATAAAAATACCTTAATATGGTTTTTAAGGACGACGAACTCCATTAACTTGAGTTAGTTTGAGTGAGACAATCCACTAATCATAACATCAAAGTAGAATTCAGGAATAAACAAGAATGTAGGTTCCAATCATACATTTTAAAACTATCACTATGCGCATGATCGTCTCTGACATTTTAAGAGCATTGTACGAATTTAATAAAAAGGCTCTTCTTATTTAAAAAAAATAAAAATTTGGTGGACAATATATTCATAAAGAGTTCAACAATCAGTATTTAAACTTAATTGAAATACACATTCTCTCTTACTAATTGAATATTTTCCCAATTGCCGTAAAATCATAATTTAGGGTTCATCCGTGAAAAAATGAAGCACAACTCAAAGAGGGATAAGGAAATACGCTTGTGTTTGTGAAAGAAAGTAATACACAATTTAGTTTTTTATTGTTACAGAAAAGTGGAAGAAAGTAATACACGGATTTTTTTATTGATAAGGGAAAGAGAAAATTTAATATAGTAAGTCTAAGCTCCACTTATTTAATTGTAGTGCAGATAAAATCATATGATGTTGATTTTTCTATTCAGCTAAAAACTTTTTTTTTACAAAATTTATACTCATATGTAATATATAAGAGCATCAAAATTTTGGGGCCCCTCAGAAATTCGAGGCCTGTGCCATTGCACCTCTTGCACACCCCCAATGCCCCCTCTGACTATGCGTGCAGGCTATGTTGGAGATGACAAGGCAACTGCTGAGATCTTGGATGAAGATGGGTGGTTGAAGACCGGTGATCTTTGTTACTTTGATGACGAGGGTTTCCTCTACATTGTTGACAGGTTAAAGGAATTGATAAAGTACAAGGCATATCAGGTGATTGAAAGTTTCAGACCCTTTGAGACACTCATAACAAAGATGGTTGTACATGTCATTTGATCAGTCCCTGTAAATAATCTGTTATTTCTGGTGTCACTACTTCTGGAACAAATTGCAGGTACCCCCAGCTGAGTTGGAACATATACTTCAGTCTCATCCCGACGTTGTGGATGCTGCTGTGATTCCGTATGTACCTAGTACTATGACTTTCATTTTTTGTCGAGAAAACTAGTTTGTTTTGATGCTTTATGGCAGTAAGTATAGCAGTTTGTGACTGCAATCTCTCTTATTTGCTACTTTTGAAATGTCATTTCTTACAAGTTTAGCTTTGTATATAGACAAGAAATTGCTGCATTGAAAAAAAAAAAAAAAAAAGACAAAACAGTGAAGAATTTTTTCGATTAACGGATTGTTTGCTGATTGGATTGTCTGTGATATCTGGTATTTTGCCGCTCCACCCCCATCCCAAAAGGGAAAAATAGATTGGAATTTCTTGCATGGCTAGAAAAAACATGATCGTTACTGAAATAATTCACTGCTTTTTGTTCTTCCTCAAGGTTGACAAGTCCTTTATTTCTGTGGAATTGTGCTTGTAAAACAGTTATCCGGATGAAAACGCGGGGCAGATTCCCATGGCCTATGTGGTTAGAAAGCCCGGAAGCAATATCACTGAGGCTCAAGTTATGGATTTCGTTGCAAAACAAGTATGATTCTGAATATACTTGTGAAAATCTTTCATTGAATGTGCATACTAGTTGTCTTCTTCACATCCTGCAAAGTAAAATTGCTGACGGGTCCTTTATATTCTCATATCTTGATTAGCTGCACAGAAATAAGCTTTGATGTTCGATGTGTTTTACAATGTTTCGTGTGTCATGGATACGTATCTTCGCATAGCAACTTATTTACGTAAAAAGAGAACGAAACACGTTAGAAGTATTAGTGTCTACCTGAATATTTGAGTAGCAACTTTGTGTTTTATAGGCCTTTATATTGGAATTGGTTTACTTCTTATTCCAGGTTGCTCCGTACAAGAAGATACGACGTGTAGCATTTATCAACTCCATTCAAAAATCTCCATCAGGAAAGATCTTGAGGAGGGAGCTAGTAACTCATGCTTTAGCCACTGGTTCATCAAAATTATGATTCATTCGTTCGAATCAAAGGAAGAAGAAAGCTTTCTCAACATTTACTGATAACTTATGACGCCAAAACAATTAAACAGTAGAAAATGCATCTTTCATGATCATATTTGCCCTACAATTTTCCCTTTTTCTAACTCGACAATTCCAAAAAATTTCCCATATAAAAAAAATAATCGCAATAAGTTTCAACATCTATACCCAAAAGACATTACAATTTTGTTTCTGGTGATAGCTGCAACAATATCACCAGCAGTTACAACCATCCCTTTCTCCATCGGTGTCAATTACGTCCTCCATCGTGTTTTCGCGGAGTTGCAGCATCGGATTTTCAGAATATTGTGGTAACATGCTCTTTGGCGACCATGCAGACCTCGAACCAGATGGTAACATGCTCTTTGGCGACCATGCAGACCTCGAACCAGTTTGTTGCCTTGAGCTTATTACTGCGGGCGTAAAATGCCACAGAGCATTGGTGAAAACAAAAGAAAGGCTTTCAAGTTGAGTAGAGAACAATGGGATGCTTGTCTACCTCATGGTGATTTGCTTGGCTGGTGATTCCTAGTTCTATCTCCTTAATTCTACAAAATAATAATTCCATAACGGACTTTAGAGTTATTAAGAAGGATTTTTCATGAGTTGTTATGTATGAATTCTGTCATATTTATTGTGAGATGAATTTTGTAGCCGATGAATTGGCTAACTTGAGCTTGGTACATTATATTATCGATCAAGGTCACGCCTTCTGTTGATGCCTCCTAGTGGTGAATGCAGCAGCTCGAACCTCTAAGTCTCGTGATTATTTATTGTAGTTTCTTTTTATTGGGCATTTAGCTCCGTTGTTAATAAAAAGAAATTAACCAAAACAATTCTATACCTACGTGGGGCCCGATGTACTTGATTTGAATCCCATGTACGCAACTAATTGGATATAAATTTTTTATATAAAGAGCAATTCCATTTTTCATTCAAGTGCAAAAGTCTTTTTTTTATTTGCCGAAGCCTAAGTAGCTAGAGGGGTGAACCGTTTCAATTGTTGATTTTATTCGCAAATGGAGAATATGTGCATCTCTACATGATCATTTCAAAAGGACACAAGGAACCTTTCATAAATTTCATATAGAAAGGAAAACAACAAGACTTGGAAACAAATCGTATTAATTTCTAGATCCAACTCAATCTGTTGAGAAATTAATAATACACAAATCCATTAAAAAATAAATAAACAAAGGATTGTTTGATTAAATTCAAATATTCTGCCATGAGAAACATTTTTAATGTGTCGGGAATACAGTTTAGTATGCTAAGTGTTCGTGGTTGGATTTTTATTTATTTTTTATTTTTTTATGAGTATTTAACCACTTGTATTAGACACTAGATATACTCACCATCTTTTCGACACACTAAAAAATATCTCCCAAGTCACAACCTTTTACAGTTATTCTTGTATAGAAGGAAAAGAAGGTAAGGTGATTTTGGTAAGAATATATGGAAAAGAAGGTGAGAATATATGAAATCCATGAAGAAAAACACGCAGCAAAGCCAACAATGCTGCATCATAGCAGCAACAAGAAACACTAACTATTCATAAGTAAATTCCATTCTTGTAAAATAGACTCATTAGTAGTCGAATAGGCGATTTTAAAGAACTCAACTGAAGTCTAATAATGGACTTAATTGAGTTGGCAACCACAACAGCGGATTAACATGAGTTTTTGAATCTACGATTGTTCTGCTCCTTCTAAACATAATATACGGTAGCAGCAATACATAATTTCAACACTACAGCTACCAGCCCACATGATAAAAAGAGGCCAAGGGACACCGTATACTATCCATTCCAAAGTTTTAAAATACGTTAGGTGTTAGTCAAACGTCGGGCTAGAGTCCAGACGAGGTTCGAAGCGGAGTTAAGTGAATTTATTATATTATCGTATAAATTTATTAAATTTTATAATATATAAATATATATATGCATATGATGTGAGAGTTTGAGGTGATGTGGTCTCAAAAGAAAAAAGAATTATAAAACACGGGATTATCCAAAAAGATAAAAGAAAATGAAAAGTGATGAAAGGGCTACACTGTTTGCGCATGCTACGCAAATGTTTCCTTTCCTTCTTAAAATATACTAGTATTTTTGTACACGCTTACGCGCATGTAAATATCTTTTTTTAATCACAGCGCACTACGCACGATATACATAATTTTGCTTTATTTTTCATTTTGCAATTGTTAAGAAGTGTGAATTTTTTCCTTTTTCAAATCAACGGTACCTATCATTATCTACAACAAAAATAATGTAAGAACTTTTTGATATGTTCATTTAGAAGATTTAAAAGTGCTGGAAACTTTGTGTAAGGTAAAAAAATTGGTGTGTAAAAATCACTTTCCGAAAAAAAAAAAAACAATAAATAATAAAATTAAATGTTTGTACAGACTAACATACAATATTTAAAATTTTCATTTTGTGAAACATGTACAATTACGTTAACAAGACATTTCGTATATCACTAAATCCCATGGACTGCTAATATAGGCCACAAGCTTGAGTTTATTTGTAAGGTATTAAGCAACATTTATGAGAATTGTTCTATAGTGGTGCTTCGAAATTGCATTCTTAATTAACGACTACCTGCAAATGCAAAGAAGTTATCAATCTCTACAACTGTAAATGGAAGTAGGACAACTAACATGATACGATTAATTCAAAGTGATAAACTATAAACTTCAATGGAAACCTAATGATAGAGGAAAATACAATTGAACACTTCTTTACGATGGATATATTAGAGATTTCTTCTAAAGAGGTTTTACAAACAACCAAATAATTAAACTCTGCAACTTTGATAAATTGATAACCTATTGAGTAAACCCATGAAGGCAAGAAAATGGATATTGATTTTTGTAATAAAATATAGCAAATCAAGATGACATTTAGAAGTTAGGATAAGTGGAAAAGTGATGTAAGAAGAGTGGAACTGACAAAGCAGATACTATAGCTTTGCACATGGGCTTAATTGCTTAAAGATTAAAGAATTTATATTGGTTTAGCATTTAATATCCAATCTTTCCATAAGCCTCTCCATATAAAGTTTTAAAATAACAAAGCTCTTGAACAGTATTAGCAACAAATAAAATTCAAAGTATTTGATTCGGACGAAGCAAGATAAGTAATGTTTGTAATTACTAAGAATAAAAAATAAAATCAAAACTGAGAAGCAAACCACCAAATCTTACCTCCAAGTCAAACTGAGATGATTATCTGGCTCTCTGTAGGGAATCTCCACTTGCTGCTACCCTAATATCCTCCCTTACAGAGCAAATGAACAACAAACAGCCAAAAAATGAAAAAGAAATCAAATGTAGTTTCCGAATGCTCACTGACCACTGATTTCAATAATCTCGTCATTCTCTTCCTCTGAATTTGTAATCTCGTACACATGGTTGAAAAATCTACTTATATGTCCAAATACATCATAAAATAATTTGGTACGAATATTTAACCTAGCAATAAACATGAAAAGCAAAAATAAGTAGGAGATAAAGAACAGAAAGATGAAGAAAATAAAAAGAAGAAATTTATTAAACTGATTGTATTATGATTCGTTTCAACGATAATTGCACATTTACATAGTAATTATTAATTTAAAGAGATACAAAAAACCTTTGAATTAATTTGTCATCCCTTCCACACTGCTTTGACATTTATCCTATCTAAGATCCCACCTGCTATCAAATTAATACAATCAACTTCTTGCAGAGTTATGAGATTGAGAGAAGGAGTTACCATCAGCATCGGCAGCAACCATTTCAACATCTTGCAGAGTTATGAGTCCCTTCGTCACAATCTCTTTTTGCAGCTGAGATCAAAATTAAATTACATAAAAATTAAATAAATATACAAACACATACATACGGTAATAAAATATGATTTTGATGGAGTTAATTAGTTAAGTGGCAAAAAAATTGAACGAAGAAATACAAAGAAAATTGATGGAATAATTAGTTACTATCTTCAAAACGGGGCATGTACTGCAAACCGGTCGTCTTTAAATACTGGTATGTGGATTGTAGGCCTGGAGCAGCATGATCAAATTTTTTTTTTTTGCTATGGAAAATCACGGTCGCGTGCGTTTTCATCCTCTCTTTCCGTGCGGCAGATTTCAGTTTTTTGTGTTACGTGCGTGGCTTCAGTTTTGCTGCCACTTTTTATTTTTTTAGTGTTTTTTTGTTGTTATCTAAAATAAAATCTGTTAACGGAAATACCCTTGGTATTATATTCTGTTTTTTATTTGTAATTGTAATTTTTTTTTGTTTTAGAGACCTTTGTGTCCAGTCATTTTTGGTGAAGCTTTGATAATGAAGTGGTGGGACCATCTTGAAAAAGGCGTGCAATTAAAAAATTATAGGCCCGGTCATCTTCTTCCTCGCGCGCGAGCAGCTTTGCAAGTTTTTTTTCTTCAGATTCCGGCGTCTTCACAGACGGCCGCTAGCCCCTGACTAGCCCCACCTAGCCCTGCCTAGCGCTGCCTAATCCCACCCAGGCTTCTGTTTAATATGATTTTCGATTTTGTGACCGATTAGGAGGAAATTCCGGCAGTTAGTTACCGTTCAGCGGAAACACTGAAACTCTCACATTTTAGGTTTTTTACTAACTTTTATATAGTTTTGTTACTCCCATTTTGTGATCGATAGAAGGAAATTGTAGCAGTCGTTTTCGCATGCTTTGAAAATGTTTGCTTTCCTTCTTACAAAACACTGAAGGTTTGAAATTCTCACATTCTAGGTTTTTTAACTGACTTTTTTCATATCTATATATAAGTTTTTTTTTTTATCTTTCTTTTTTAAAAAGGAGATCAACTAGTAGTTATGCCACGGTAGTCTACTATTTCAAAGGCTGAGAAGACTTATAGAGATATTTTAACCTATTCAAGACCAGTGATAGAGCCAAAAATTTATCATAATGGGGGCACAACAAAAGAATTATACTTGGCAACTCAAAATAGTTTGTTGCCGATACATAAAACTTAGTTTTTGTGATCATAACCGTTTACATTATAAATCATTATATAAAGATCGTCTGTGCAAAAATCAATTAAAACTA